AAATGATTAAAATCGATATTGTTCATCGTTTCATGGCCCCAGTGCTTCATACCAAATATGAAAATCAAAACCTTACTGCGTTAGCTTTGAATGTGTGAAGCTTTGAATTACAGATTTGTTTGTTAAATTATTTCAATTTAATGTGTGGTCGACGTTTTATTGAAAATGTCATAATTTGCATGGTTTTCGCGCCATATTACTTCTACAATAAAGCTAGACACATGGTTTATTGTCTTGTGGCCTAAAAGCTTCGCGATGGATTTTAAAACAAAAATCTTGAAAAATTCTCGCTTTCACCAGACGGAAAAATATGAATAACGCCATAATGAAACGTCGGGGAGCGCTGCAATTCAATAAGGTTCATTCTCTAGTTGCAATAATTCCTCCGAAAATCTAGCTTTTATCCGTTCACAAGGATAAATCCCACGGAACACCAAAAATAAATAGGGTCCCTCTACTCATGATACCAGTGCTCCAAAAGAAATTGGAAAGATAGCCACGCAATGTGTGGAAAGACGCTCACGCAGCATCTATGTCTCAACAGCAGATTATCGGAAAGGAAAACGTGGATGTTGAATAAATTGAATAAGGATCTAGCAGCCTTCAAGAAATCTAATCTTTATTTGCTCACGTTTTTTTCATATCTCTGTAACAGCAAACCTTACATTTTTTGAAATTCAGCAGGGGTCATCCTTGTCGCGGAACACTGAATATGGAAAATGCGTTAAAAACGCAATTCTCTACTGCGTTAACAAGGTTTTCAAAGAATCGTGTGTAACTCCGGGACGGAAGATCGCTAAACGCTAAATATCAATAGAGTTCATGACCCCAATGCTTCACACAAAATTTAAAAAGTGAAACGTCTATGACGTTAACAAGGCTTTCTTGGAGAGGGGTGGGTTATATTAAGGAACAGAAGGTCACAGAATGCTGAATATCCACAGGGTCTGTCCTCTGATCGTCCCATATTTGAAAAAAAAATACGGACAAAGAGGGTAACTCTGGAACAGAAGTTTGTGAAGTACTGAAAATCGAAAGACCCCAGTGCTTCACAACACATTTGAAAAAACAAAATCAGTTAAAAAAAACTGTAGCCTCTATTTATTGCGTTAACAGGGTTTTTGGGAAAAGGGGAGGGGGGGTGTAACCCCATAAGGATGCGGGCGCTGAAAGTCGAGAGTATAAAAATACTCAAGATCTCGGGAAAATTTACACAGGATGTCAAGATCCCGAGATTATTAACTTGAATTCTCGAGATCGTTAACATTTTAGAGGATCTCGAGAACATTAAATTGGGATCTCAAGAAAGTATCACAGGTCCACAGGATCTCGAGATCTTCTACAAAATGCTACATGACCCCTATACACTTAGCCACTTTTTTAATTTTAAAGAGAAAAACCGTTAATATACCGGGTCAAAATTCAGACTGTCGTACATAATTTTGAACATCCAACTAAATATATTCTGAAAGGTAATTAAATCAGCTTTCCAAATATTTTTAGTAAACGTTGGAACAATCATATTAAAGTGCTGCGCTCTCAACCTGAACACGGCCAATTTTTCAATATTCTGAAAGTAAAGAGTTTTAATTCGGATCATCGTACAAAATTCTTAGCATTCAACTATATATATTCTAAAAGGTAATTAAATAAGCTTTCCAAATAGTATTAGTAAAAGTTGACACAATCATATTAAAACGATGCGCTCTCATCTTTACGGAAGCGTATAGGGGTCATGCAAAATTTTGTATAAGGTCTCGAGATCCTGCGATCCTGTGAAACTTTCTCGATATCCCGTGATCACCTGATAATTTTCTCGAGATCTTAATTTAATTTTCTCGAAATCCCCTGATAATTTTCCTGAGATATTGACATCCTGTGTAAATTTTCTCGAGAATTCGAGTTAATATTCTCGAGATATTGACATCCTGTGTAAATTTTCTCGAGATCCCAAGTTAATATGAAACCTTATATGATATAGTGTCTCCGCGGAGTGATGCAACCATTGGCCCAATACGTTGCACCCAATTTGATAAAAAAAAAAACATTTGTTACAAAGGAAAACTTCTAACTAATGAAAGAAGAAACGGACAATCGATAGGGTACCCATGATTTACACTCAATTTGAAATATGATTAAAATCGATAGGTTTCATCGTCTTATGGCCCAAATTTGAATTACAGAAATGCTTGTTAAATTATTTCAATTTAATGTTTCTTCGACGTTTAATAGAATATGTCATCTTTTGCATGGTTTTCGGACCATATTTTGTTTTAGAATAAAGCTAGACACAGAGTTTATTGACCTGTGGCAGAAATGCTTCGGGGCAGATTTTAAATCAAAAATCTTGAAAAACTCTGGGCTCTAACGCGTTCATAAGGGATCGCTGCAAATCAATAGGGTTCATTGTTCCGCCGAAAATAAATAGGGTTTCTCTGCTTATGACACTAATGATTCAAAATAAATTTGAACGATAGCCACACAAAGTGTGGAGATCCGCCCACGCAGCATCTATGCCTCAACAGCAGATTATTCGAAAGGAAAACTTGGATGTTTAATAAATTGAATAAGGATCTAGCATTCTTCAAGAAATCTTATCTCTATCGTGTTCACGTGCTTGTTACATCTCTGGGACAAAAAAACTTATATTGCTGAAAATTAACAGGGGTCATCCTTGTCGCGGAACACTGAATTTCGAAAATCCGTTAAAAACAAGGTTTTAAAGAATGGAGAGTATAACTCCGGAACGGAAGGTCGCTAACCACTGAATATCGATAAAGTTCATGACCCCAAAGCTTCACACAAAATTGTAAAAGTGAAGCCTCTATGGCGTGAACAAGGCTTTCAGGGAGCGGGCGGTGAGCGAGGTATATTAAGGAACAGAAGGTCTCCGAATGCTGAATATCGATAGGGTTCGTCCTCTCATTGTCACATATCTGAAAGAAATACGGACAAAGTTTACGGAGTACTGAATATCGAAAGGTCATAGTGCTTCACACCACATTTAAAAAACAAAATCAGTTAAAAACTGTACCCTCTATTGCGTTAACAAGGTTTTTCGGATAAGGGGGATAACTCCAGAACGACGAGGTGCGTTAAAAGCGACAGGGACCGTCCTCTCATGGAGCTAGAAGCTAGAAGCGACAGGGACCGTCCTCTCATGGCCACAATGCTTTACAGTAAACTGTAGGCTCTATCGTGCTATTATGGTTTTCGGGAAAGTGTGTGTGTGTGGGGGGGGGGGGGGGGTCCAAAACGACAGGTTGTGGGGCGCTGAGAAAACGTTAAAACTACGTGTACGCATAAAAAATACCCGAGATCTCGAAAAAATTTACACAGGATGGAAAGATCCCGAGAACATTAACTCGAATTCTCGAGATCGTTAACACAGGATGATCGATTTTCGAGAAAATTATTAGGGTATTTCGAGAACATTAAATTGAGATCTCGAGAAAGTATCACAGGATCGCAGGATCTCGAGGTCTTCTACAAAATTTTGCATGACCCCTATACGCTTCCGTACATCTTAAATATAGCAAATGTTTTAATATTTTAAAGGGAAAGACCGTTAATATTCCGAATCAAATTCGCACCATCGTACAAAATTCTGAGCATCCAACTAAATATATTTTGAAAGGTAATTAAATAAGCTTTCCAAATAAAAGTTGGCACAATCAGATTAAAGGGCGCGCTCCCAACCAAAGGAAGCGTATAGGGGTCATGCAAAATTTTGTAGAAGGTCTCGAACCTCTGATACTTTCTCGAAATCCCGTGATCACCTGGTAATTTTCTCACATATTTGAAAAAAATACAGACAAAGAGGGTAACTCTCGAACAGAAGTTTGCGGAGTACTGAAAATCGAAAGGTCCTAGTGCTTCACACAATATTTGAAAAATAAAATCAAAAACAAAAACTGTAGCCTCTATTGCGTTAACAAGGTTTTCGGAAAAGGGGAATAACTCCAGAACGACGAGGTGCGTTAAAAGCGACAGGGACCGTCCTCTCATTTTGAAATAAATCCGTTAAAAAGTGTAGGCTCTATCGTGCTATTAAGGTTTTCGGGGAAGTGGTGGTGGTGTGTGTGTTGGGGGGGGGGGGGGGGGTAAACTCCGAAAGTACAGGTTGTGGGGCGCTGAGAATACGTCAAAACTACGCACACACATAAAAATAGCCGAGATTCGAGAAAATTTGCACTGGATGGCAAGTTCTCGAGAACATTAACTCGTTAACACAGGATGGGAGATTCTCGAGAAAATTATTAGGGGATTCCGGGAACATTAAATTGAGACCTCGAGAAAGTAACACAGGATCGCAGGATCTCGAGTTCTTATGCAAAATTTTGCATGACCCCTATCCGTACAAATGTCTTCTTTGCAAAAAGCCGTATTTTTTTTATCTCCACCCCCACCAATATGAATTTAAATTCGCTCCGACTACCCGTGTTAAATTGCATCGTCAGTGAATTGGTTTAGTTTAATTCTTCAGATATAGCTTCTCATACCAATGTACCTATACTACAGATAGCCGAATGATTATCCTTTGCTTTTTGGAGAACTTAAAATTGCATGTTATTTAATTAATTAGTGCTAGATATTGTTTTATGTTCATTTGGCGATCTATTTGGTAAGACACCTGAGAAATCGTTAATATTTTAAAATTTTAAAAAAATATAATACTGACTATAATAAAATAAATGCCCCGTACTACCACGAGCATAATCTTAAAAAAAATAAATAAATATAAACGCAATTGTGCAAACTGTTCTTAAAGTCTGGATGATCTAGTCCAATAGCAGATCGCTCAGTAATGACGTAATGGCAGGTTCTCGTTGCTGAGAAAGTGAAAGTAGACTGCCAGTTTCCAATGCCAGGCAATGCTATGAGAAACGAAAGTCCAAAGAAACTGCTTAGTTATCCTAAGTATACGCTAGCCTAATTACAAATCACAGTGGAGTTTTTTTGTTTTTTTTTGGTTTTTTATTATTATTATTTTGGTTTTTAAGACAACTCTCACGAATGGAGAGTATGAAATCTCGTTTAATCTCGTTTAACCGAGATTTTCGAGTTGACAACTGCTCCATGCCGAAGTTGAAAGTATGTTTAGAATTTGTTATACAAAATATATTGCTCTTGTCAGCAAAATTCTCACCCAAAAGAGTGCAGTTCTTCCTCTAATAAGTATGACTTAGTTTTACGTCATATGGATGGAATTTGTGCGTTAATGAAGAGTTGAATTAATGTTGTGCAACTTAACCATTGATTGACATTCATCATAAAATTTACAGACAAGAAGTAATAATTCGGATTTCTATCAAGCAAGACGATAAAAAAAGAACAGAACAAGGCAAGATTCGAGTACCGCCAGGGATTTGTATAATATACCACCCTCCCCCACCCATCCTCTGGTATGCCTTAGACCATTTACCGGTACACAAATTTCAGCTCACAGAAATACGAAATTTCACCAACGAATACTGGCGTCAGAAATAGAATTTTTGGACCAATATGTAGCCTAGGGGTTGTAGGTGTAGGATGTATAAAATTGGCTTGTGTACTCTTAGTAATTATCAGATATTGTATTTATATTTACTTGCCATCCAACAAAGAGGCATTATGTACCCCTAATCCACCCAAAACAGCCAACTACTTTCACATGTAGGCCTACTTAGTTACGGTACCATGATTTGTTATATTTGAGTGTTTTTGGTGCCAAATAGTATAGCCTACATGTTGGTCATTTTTGGATAATATCGATAGTCGAAGGGCAGAAACATAACTTGTTAATTTTGTAGAGTTATTCTACAACTCGGACCAAAGACCACTTAGACCAAGATCTGACTAGAAATGGTTCCACTGCTGATGTCTTCCGTCTTGCTCCAGCCACAGTAGTTGATCGTTCTAAGGACTTCCTTTGAGCAATTTTTTTTAGTCATTTAATTACAAAATACTTACTGGCCTATAACTCCCTTAATTTTAAACTGTACTGCTTATAGTTTAAAGGGCATATGACTCTATTTTTTGGAGGAGCCACACTGGTTAAGTGGGTAAGATGCTGGAGCTTGCATGTTCGATCTCCGCATTGGTCGAGAAAGTTCATCAGGATTTTCCGATGTGCTTCCCCCTTGTCAGTGGTGCAGGACGAAGGGTCTGACGAGAACAGCTGTCTAGTCGTTTGGATGGGATGAAAAACTGAGATCCAGTGTAGACATTGGCGTGCACATAAAAGATCTCTTGGCAGTTGGAATTCGATAAATAAGAAAGTCTATAGTGCTGCTGCCCGTGCAAAATTTTACTCTTTATTAGCACACTGTATGGTGTATGCCCGTCTTCATTAGCCCTGTCGGAGCACAACGGTAGGACAAAAATGATTCTAAAAGCACATATAAATGTAATATGAATGTATGTAAAGTGATCAATATTTAATTTTTGAAAAAAATATGATAATTTCTAATAATTTATTTTTGGTGAAATATGTGAAAAGTTCAAATTGAAAGGCAGTCGTATACGTCTGCTTAGTGCATTCTACACGTTTTTTAAAATTATTATTTTGTTGTTTGTGAATCGGGCCTTTAATTACTTCTACATTGTACTTCTTGTAGGATATGTTTTTTTTGTGTTTATTACAAAATGCCACCCAAATACCATAGGTACATGACTTGTGTACTGATTATAAAATGTTAATTGTGTCCTTAAACATACATTATGCAAGAGCTAAGTCTGATTATTGCAAGTCTTTATTTAGGTTTCAGATGTCATAGAAATTATAAATTAGATCTTTATTTACATAATAAGCACAAAATCAACTCTGTAGACCCACGGATGGCGTGGATTCGGCTTGGGATTTAAACAGGATTTCATTGATTGATTAAATTTTTAAATGGCGTCGTAAGCGGAGATTAACTGTTACATTGACGTCATACTCCCGGAATTTTTAGATCGAGGCTAAATGATAGTTACGAAGTGAGGCCGCTGTTGAGCGAGGCCGCATGTCAGTCAATTTGACTGAAAGTTCGATATATACAGCCTTGATATTATCTTTAGTTGTGGTTAAAATTAGAGTTTGATGTCGGTATTATACGCTCTTTTGTCACTTGCGTTTACAGAAATAATATGGAAATTGATAAACATCGCAGCTAACATCACCCCACCCAGTTGAATTAGAACCCCATTGGATCACTGTTTCCTATTTGTCTGCTTCGGGAGTTATGTAGGCCTACAGTGTTACAGTACAAGAGTTCTCGCAGGCTAACAAGAAGTCGGCTATAATTATGCTTAATTGATTTGGTCCATTCCTTTCAAACTTTCGCTTCTTATATATATATTAAAAGTCTTAATTTTAATTTGTAATAAAAATAAATGTGATACGAATGGAATTGCAACACCGTCCCCGTCTCAAACCGAATAGGCTAACGGTACCACAGCTATTGAAAACGTTACTTGATAATCGAGATTATGTAGGTGGAGTTAATGCCTGTCAATCAATCAATCGGCCATTCTCGGAGACGGTGAAGAGAGAGTTGACTCCTATTTCTAGTCAAACATTACAATGGTGATAACTTTGTTCAGAATAAAGTAATTTGACTGAAATTTTCAATATTATTCTTCTTTCATCATCTATTTTTGAACTGTTATATAGCAAGAATGGCCAACTCTCTATTAAAATCTCCCATAATGTATCTTTAATATTTGGATATTAGGATCCTATAGTTTCACGGCAAGATAACAACATCAATATTGATTGAAATTGATCAATATTGAATTCTAATTCATGTTTTTAATTTCGAATATTATGGAAAATATTGAGTTAGAGACTTACCCCCTTTAACATATAATATTAATAAACCAATTCCCATTGAAACTTACCACAAGAATTCATAAATTTAGTAAAATCCAACGACTACGCGATATTTCTGCAATTTTTTTTTTGTATTTGTAATGGTTGACAAGACAAGTACCACACATACAAATATTGCAGCTAAAGTCGGACAAACTGAAGACCACTTGGAGCAAGACATGTGGATCACGCACTGTAATATTTCTAATGTTGATTGTTTACAAAAAGAATGTTTTATTTTGATGTGTGTTTCTTTGTATCTGTAATATTTTTGCATACAGTATTTGATAAAAAAAAAATACCTGAGGAATTTATTTGAAATATGCCAAAACATGTAAGAAAATATCAACATGAAACACACATGGTTATTAAAAGGCTCTACCAAAGGATAAAACATTAACAGCACTTCCGGTTCTTTGATGATCTTTGATTCCCATAAATAAAAGTAATATATTAAAACAGGAATAATATGCTGATGAATTTATTTGAAAATCACAACATGCACAGTTATTCGAAGTACCTACCAATTTTAATGATAAAACTTAAAATTAACTTTGACATCCATTCCATGACAAGCTTGCAATAGAAGGCAGTACAAATAAATATAGTCTTTTCAGAAGTTCAGTATATGAATTAATAAACCTAAAGTACTCAGTTTTTTCCGCCCACATTGAAATGTGGTCGTATATTGTTGTCACCTCCGTCGGTCCGGTGTCCACAATTGCTTGTGGAAGCTCTAGAGGTTATAGTTAATATCCGATTGACTTTAATTTGATACATGCAGTGTTTACGGTCATGAGACGAAGAAGCCTGTCGATTTTAACCGATTTCTGATAAATTACTGCCAGAGTTATGGCCCTCGATCACTTAGAAAAATCTTGTGGATGCTCTAGAGGCTAAAGTTAATATCCGATTGACTTGTTTAAGGTCATGAGATGAAGAAGCCTATTGATTTTCACCAATTTCTGATAATTACTGTCAGAGTTACTGGCCTTGATCACTTTAAAAAATCTTGTGGATGCCCTAGACGCTAAAGTTAATATTCGATTGACTTTAAATTTATACACAGTGTTTAAGGTCATGAGACGAAGGAGCCTATTAATTTTCAACTATTTATGATAATTACTGCCAGAGTTATGGTCCTTGACTTCTTTGAAAAACCTTGTAGAAGCTCTTAAGAGTTGATATCAGTTAATATCTGACTTTAAATTTATACAGTGTTTAAGGTCATAAGACGATGAAGCCTTTTGATTTTGAATGATTTCCGATAATTACTGCCAGAGTTATGGCCCTTGATCACTTTGGAATATCTTGTGGATGTTCTAGATGCTAAAGGTAATATCCGATTGACTTAATATTTATACACGTGTTTAAAGTCATGATATGAAGAAGCCTGTCAAATTTTATCGATTTCCAATGATTATGGAAATTGATATTACATGTTTTGCATGCTAAATGTTAGAATAGGGTAGAACTAGAAGCCAAATGGGTTGTTTCTTGTAATCAGATTTTAGTGTGTTTGTTTTCATTTCTGACAAAAGAAAAAAATATGCGACAGGCCTTGTTGACTCCCCGGTCGACTTAGCTGCTGTGGGCGTATGTTTCATTGCCTGGCAACCTATCTTTCATTGTTTTGTTAATTGAGGGTTTTTGTCCCCCACCTTTCGAAATGGGTTCGTCTGTCCGTCCGTCTGTCTGTCTGCCCGTCAAACTTTTTTGGACACAAATCTCTTTCTAATTGAGCTAGAATGTTCAAACTAGGTGTAGGTGTTTATTAGGTCAATTCCTTGATGGAGTTCGAGGATGAGCATTTTCTGCTTAGGGTAAGCAGATATAAGTAATTTGATTGGTTGATGCTTTGGGACACGAAAACTTTAGTTCTAATTAAGTGAGAGTGATGAAACTTGGTGTTAGGTTTCATTACATTAATACCTTGACTAAGTTCGATGATGAATATTTTCTGCTGAGGGTGAGCAGAGCGATAAGCAATTTGATTGGTCGAGACTTTGGAACACAATAACTCTCCTTCTAATTGAGCTAGAATGTTCAAACTTGGTGTAGGTGTTCATTAGGTGAATGCCATGATGGAGTTCGATGATAAACATCGTCTGCTTATGGTAAGCAGAGATAAGCAATCTGATTGGTTGATGCTTTGGGGCCAATAACTTTGGTTTTAATTAAGCGAGAGTGATGAAGTTCAGAGTATAGATTCATTATATTATATTATAAATAGGTTACATAAGATGGGTAAGTAGGCTACATAACACTTCATTTTTAAAAAAAAACAACACATGTACAGGTATTAAAACAAACACAATTAGCCATTTATAAAAACAACACTTTATTATTTCTAAAACATTGGTCCGAGTGGTTTTCTGTCTTGATCCGAGCGCTTTCCTTTCTTGATCTGAGTGGTCTATTGTCTTGGTCCGAGTGGACTATCAACTGGTCTGACTGGTCTTGGTCAGATTGGTCTTTGGTCCAATTAGTTGCCATGTATTCTTATGATGTAGTGGTGCCCTGGTTTTGAAATTTTATTGCACAGAACTGAATCCGACTTTCTGTGTGGAATTGCGCTTTATAAATGATATTTTTATGATCTGAATACTAACCGATCAGAATATAAAGTTATGGGCTGGCATGGCATGCTTCCATTTCACACCTATGTCAGCACAATTTTACCAAAGAAGTGCCTAGAAATTAAACACTCGCACACAGAATAGAGCCAGTTTTTATACGCCCACATAGAAATGTGGACGTATATTGCCGTCGCCTTCGCCGGTCGGTCCGTCCGTCCGTCCATTGTCCACAATTTATCGTCCAAAAGTTATCATCCAATTGTTTTAAAATTGATATATGTTGTTTACATTAGTGAAACAAAGAAGCCTATTGAATTTCAGCAATTTCTGTGTATTATGTCTAGAGTTATGGCCCTTGTTTCACTTTATTGAACCTTGTGAACGCTTTAATGCCAAAAGTTATCATCCGATCTTTGTGAAATTTATATGCATTATTTAAATAAGTGAAACGAAGAAGCTTATTGAATTTCAGCAATTTCTGTGTATTACATCAAGAGTTATGGCCCTTGTTTCACTTTATTGAACTTTGTGAATGCTCTAACATCAAAAGTTATTTGCCGATCTGTATGAAATTTACATGCGTCATTTAAATTAGTAAAGAGAAGAATCCTATTGAATTTCAGCAATTTCCGTTTATTACTTCTAGAGTTATTGCCCTTGTTACACTTTGTTCAACCTTGTTAATGCTCGATTGATGAAAGTTATCATCCGTTATGTATGAAATTTATATGCATGATTTAAATTTGTGAAACGAAAAAGCCTGTCAAATTTCAACAATTTCTGTAGATTACTTCTAGAGTTGAGACCCTTGTGAACCCTCAAACAGCAAAAATTATAATCTGATCTGTATGGAACTGTCTTGTAAAGGCCCCCAATTACCAACAAAGGAATAAATATGCGACGACCCTTGTTGACCGCTCGGACGATTTAGCCGCTGTGGGCGTATGTTTTGTTGCCTGGCAACCTATCTTTATACAGAATATGAAATGTGTCTTGGTTTATGTCCGCTAGAAAATATTTACTAATATTAAGTCAGTAAAATCATGATATTCAAATATGTAAACAGATAAGGTAAGATTGAAAGATTAACAATTTCTAGAAATCTGAATATTCACAAAAACAATCCAAGAATGAATAACTTAAAATTATTTGAAGAGCATTGAAATAATCACTTAGTTTAAAAATTTGAATAGTAAAATTGACATTCAGTGCAGCCACTATTGAACACCTCATATTCATTTACTTTTTAAATGAACGCATTTAATGTGCATTAGGCCATCCAGTATTCTTTTAAAAACTCTAAAAATCAGATTTCTGTTGTTATTTGTTTTTCTAACTTGCTGGAATTGATCTGTACTGTTCTAAGCATTAAATATATTGATATTCAGTCACACAACAATATTTTACGGAGTTACTGATCCTGTCACGGTAACATTGTAAAGACTCTACTGGAATTCTTCGACTTATCTAATAGAAACCCAATCAAAATTTAGATTTGTCCATAAATTTTATGCATAACCTTATTTTTATCAAGTAACTGAAAAACTTCAAAGCCAACCTCCAAATGCTGTTAATTGGTGTATATTCATTGCCTGTCAAAGTAATGTTTTTATTTCTAGTGAATTATTTATTCTTTATTGTTCTCTATTTCAGTAGAATGGCTGAGGGTTTGGATGAAGGAAGATATGGTGGCACTCTACCTCAACATGGCCGCCATTCCTCTACTACAGGATCCAGTCAGCCTGGCTCTGAAATACCTAGAGCCTCAGAATCATGGACACCATTTAGTGGCATGCCTTCTAGTCCTGTTTCCCCAACTGGTCTATTTTCTTGGGAATCTTTTAATTCTTCAGCGCCTAATTCCTTTGGTAATGGGCAAATCCCTCATTATTATTCTAATTATTCCAATTTTGGACTCCCTAATATACATCACAGTGCCTCAGATAACTCAGGATTTAATATAAATGATGATAATTCAACTTGTAGGCCAACAAATGTTAATTCTCCCATTCAAAGGCCTATATTTAATCAGTTTAGAGAAGAAGGTTATGAGATGTATGCAGAAGCCATAAAGCAATTACAGCAAGAGTCGCCTGGTGCATCGTATGGCCATTTTGCTACAACTAGTCCGACTGACTTATTGACTCAATCTACATGTGTTCCTGAACCTCCGATTGACACAAAAGATTCAATTAAGCCAACTTATTCTGACATAGCCAAGTCATTGAAGTCCAAGCCTATGCAAAAAGGAAAGGATGACTTGGAGATATATTTACCCAAGTCCAAATCCCCAACAGAACCTTCATCTAAAACTCAAAAGTCACATATTAAGCGGTCAGCTAATATTGCCAGAAGCCATTTAACACAGGGTCGTACAACAACAAATGATGGTAATTTTGGTAGTGTAGTTTCCCCCGACTCTAAATATGGGTTGGATCACTTTGAAGAAGTGGATTCAGGATCTCGTAGTGACAGATCAAGTATTTTAGGAGGTAGTAATGAAAGTCTGTCCTATCGCAGTCGACAGGGGAGTACTAGTAGTCTGAGCAGTGGCACCAGTGGTATTGAAGAAATACATTTAACAAAAACATTCAGCAACCCAACTGTGACACTAAAAGAAGCAGAATTGAAACTTCCAGATTTTAAAGACGACACAAATCACAAAGCAGAGGTTAAAGAGAAATCAACAACTTCTTCCAAAGAGAAGAGTGAGAAATTTTTTGATCCCAGAAGAATTTTTCAATCACAGAGCAAGGACACATATAAAAAGAAATCGGACAGTAAAGTGAATGAAAAACTTAAATGCCCAGATACTAATACGGTTTTGAATAATGGGAAACCCACCACTATCAACAAACCACCTTCAGTTGCCCACAAAAAAGCTGATTACATCAACAATGATCTTCGTGATCCACGGAAAAGAACTAACCAGAATACGGCCAGTAGTCAAGATTCTGATAAGAAGTCATCTGGTGATTGTTACATACAAAATGGAACATCAGACAAGTTAAAAGGGCATGGTAATCAACGAAGAGATGCTCAAAATATACGTCCGAAGAAGTCCACTCCAAATTTTGATTGGGAGGCCATAGGTGAATTTAGAAAATTAAGCATTTTTTTTTCATATATATAATAATACATGTATAATAGTTAAATTTATTCATTTGTTACTTGTCTTTATAAATAGACAAGGACAAATTTCACGTTTAATACATAATTTATCTGAATTTAAACTGTGGTGGTGAGAGGAATAAGAGTTGACCCCCACTCTATGGGGTAAAATGTTTATTAATAATTTTTGGAGCATTAAATGTATTAGTTTTGGAGTAGAAAAGGTTTCATATATTTACTCAAAACAAATAAAATCTGATTTGATGCAAGGTACAAATTCCATCCTAACTTAAGATAGATGCGTTTCACAAAACGATTTTAAGCATTTTAGATAAAATCCACTAAAATAATATTGTAAGTTAAAATTGTATCAGTGGCGTTTCACAAAACTATTTTAGGGACAATTTTAACTAAAATCAGTTTTAACTTAGGACAGCTGTCACCCTCCCCTACCTTAAAATCACGACATTAACAAACATTTATTAGAGCTACGTTGATAGATCTATTGCGACATATAGATATATTTGGAATAATGATGATATTGCCAATGGCCCGGGTTATATAATTTAAACATACTATCATTCACAAAAATAATTTTCATTCAATTTCTTTTCATTGCATGGGAAATATAGCTGCGGTCCACCCGTTTATTTTATTGTAAGGCAATATAAGCAATTAGATGAAGCCAAAATTAAAACCCCAAGAACAAAAAAACCCCTCAAAACGCCAGTAAACAAAACTCTTTGTTACTATTTTATATATTACCAAATGATTCAAGTATAAATTATACTATTTTCAAATAAATAATTAATAGACCAAAAGAAAAAACCTAAAAAAAGAACTAAACTCACTTCATATCTAATGTTTATAAAAACATATCTTTGTCGGCCTACAATTATTGTCGGCCTATTCCCTGTCACGTACAGGGGGGTTGGGTGGCCGAATGATTAGCACGTGCGTCCTGTATCTTAAAGCCTGTCATTGAGTCAACTGACATGGTTTCGAATCCCCGGTTGTACGTGACAAGGAGTAGGGTCGCCTGTCCAACCTCGTGGGTTTTCTCCGGGTCCTCCGGTTTCCTCCCACTGCTAAAGACCCCTACGCGCAAGCGAATTATTGAAATAAAATTAAACCATATGTTAGTCCCGAAATGACCTAGTTTGTGTCGAGTGGACGTTAAACCCCATTTCTCTCTCTCTCTCTGTCACATACAACCGGGGAATCGAAATCCTGTCAGTCCTATAATACTAGGTACGCCATATGCAAAGTATTTATGGTTTTGGGGTTATGATGATTTATATAGGAGCCAAGGGTATTTTATATTGGGAAAAAATCATTTTAATTTAATAAGATACATGTAGATGGGCATTATCCAATGAGGAGTGTGGCACTTTGGCACTTTCAAAGTATTATTGAAAGGATCCATGGGACTGACATTTCAAATCTAGGCATTGGAACATTGGTTATTCCGTGTATTAGTTTAAAAGTTGTTAAATACTTTTAAAATTCGACAATACTTTAGTCTAGATTAATCCTTTGAGTTTTAGAAATATCACATGTTTGTGACAATTCTCAATAGTTTCTGTTATCCAAAATACCATAAAACTACGAAATTCAAGCGATTTAGTTTATCGATACGCATTATTTCCATTGAAGCCTGCGAGTAAATCAAATGCAAAGGTCACGAAAGCGACATGCAAGTTCAAGGCCAACCAACTGACACATTTCAAAACGAATAATACGCAATAAACTTATTTATTTCATCTCTCTACGACTGTCTGACCATGTGCAGACATTGTTACAACGTATGAAACTCTCCTCATTGGTATTGTAACGGTTAGTTCAACAGTTTTCAGTTCCGAGGCGTTTATGCTTACACCCTAAGTGCCCTCGCCGGAATTGTGCACTGTGCGAGCGCAAGCAATTTTAAGTAAAATCTATCAATCTTCGTGAAACGCATAAAATTTAAAATTTCATTTTGATTTTAGTTAAAATCTATTTTAGTGATTTTAGTTTAAGTTTTTGTGAAACAGGGCCCTGATCATTCAAAAGTCAAAGATATGTACTATTTTAATGCAAACGCTGTTATTATGTGCAAGCAATTAACCATATCCCAGTATAAAGAAAACTTTGTGAAGAATAGAATGGTGTGTACAAAAGAAATAGCAGAATTGTTATAAAAGAGGCATTATGCTAGATCTAAGAGAAAAGGATGGTTGCTCTTGATATAAGTAATAGTTAAAAAATAATGAAAAATTTTAGGTAAATTTAGCTGTCACATCATGCCTATCTAAATTGTTTTAATGTCATTTAATTTAGTAATTGAACTGGAAGTATGCAGGGCACAATTTTATTGAATACAATTACTGTTTATTATTGAGCAACACTTCAACTAGAATTATTGAGTCTTAATCAAACATATTATAAAAAATGGTTGGACTTCACATGTAAACAACACCAACAAATTTGTTAATATTTTTGTTTTAGGTCACCTTTAAAACAATTCATGGTGTGTCTCTGATGGTTATCATTAACTAAGTTGTTGTTATTCATTGTTTACATGTCCCATCCCATTATTTTGAGATAGCGATATGTCGATAATAAACTACTTTTACAGATTGTCATTTAAAGGATGGGAATAGAACATGTACATGTAATAGATTGTTGGCAAATAAGATTTGACAACCTACCCCTTAAAATTCCAGCCATGTGTTGCATTTTGTACTGTGTAATATGTATGTAATTGTAGACATTATTATTTCAGATGAATATGTAAATAATGTAGCAGAAAAGATAAAAAATGGTGTTAAATATGTTTTTTCTTTGCTGTTTACGTTGCTACTACATGTACTAGGAGTTTTGATGTATATGTAAGTGACTGAACATTGATATAATTATTTTTGTGTCTTATACATAAATTGAAATAAAATGGGATTAAACATCCTACTTTTCTGCACCGACTGGGCTAATGAAGAGTTACCATACAGTGTGTTATGAGGGAATTTTTTTTGCAAACAGCCTACTGTTGTATCAAATTCCAACTGTAAAGAGTTCTTTTACTCTTATGTGCATGAAAGGGGGTTGGATGGCTGAATGGTTAGCGCGTGCGCGCTGTAGCATAAAGTCTGTCATTGAGTCAACTGGCATGGTTTCGATTCCCCGGTTATACGTGACAAGGAGTAGGGTCGCCTGTCCAACCTCGTGGGTTTACTCCGGGTCCTCCGGTTTCCTCCCACTGCTAAAGACCCCTACGCGCAAGCGAATTATGGAAATAAAATTGAACCATATTTTAGTCCTGAAATGACCTAGTTTTAGTCGATTGGACGTTAAACCCGATTTCTCTCTCTCTCTCTTATGTGCATGCCAACATGTACACAGGACTAGTATGAGCTTGTCTTCAAAATTTGAATTTGGAACAGTTTAGTAAACTAGTATTGCTAAATGCTATCCATACTGACTTTGTCCTTTCAGTGTTTTCTGGTGTGTTCATATTATTGGTGTGGTTGGCGTTAAAGTATGGAATTGGTGTAGTTGTAAATTCTTCTCTAATAAGTTTTCATATAACCAGAAACCAGCTGAAACCATTAAGCGTAAAATAGGATTAGAAGAAAATATAGATTTGCCCAGTACCGGTAGGTCTTTATTGTATTCAGTATTTTAGTATTTTAACAATACAGGCCACTAAATTCCACGCGAATGATAATGATAGGTTAAAAATGATCGTGCTAGCTTCCATTATCGTGGCCCGCATTGATTATCTGTAAAATATTGACAGATAACACAAGGGCTGCAATGATATGCTAACCTCACGATACGATACGTATTACAGTATTTTCTCTTTCTAAGTTTACTTTTAAAAGAAATAAAAAAGAGTACATGGCGACACGCCACATTACTATCCACAGCATTTCCATCTGACGTTTTTAATCCAAAATGTTTCCATATTCGTGATTTGCTGTTCGCTGGAGGCGATTGTTTTATTGCTCGAAGCCGTCTTTCCTCCTTTTCAAGTGAACTGCAGGGGATCATAACTCTGCATAATAGTTGAATATTGAGAGAAAATAGACGGTTTTAAAAATCTGAAACATGGTACTGAATTTGAAATACCGTGAACCGAACCATGGCATTATATTGCCGTATATCGTTGCAGCCCTAATAAATAATTTACAAAATAAATCGTCCGTCAGATTTACATAAACCAATACCTGTTAGTTTTTACTCAAATCAAAGATATCCAGTTATTTTGAAATTTTGATTTTAGGAGAGGAAGCCATGAAGCGATTATTATCATGCAAGGGAAAAGACCCATACAGGTAGAAAGATTTACTTTTATTTGTGTTTTCCTCAATATTTGTCTTCTATATGACTAGATGATTTTGTCAATATCTTAACACTATTAACACATCTTCTGAACTTGTATAAATATCAAATTGATTTTTCTGTGTAAATTAAAAATATAGATGTAATAAAAGACCTTGTCGTAAAAGAAGAATGAGCACTCCCCTTCACCTCAAACATTTTACAATTCAATGACTAATCTAAAAACTGTGGTGTCTGCTCACTTTCAAATAAACTGTTGTGGGGGGTGATCCATTGCTTGACCTGTATTTTTTGTGGCAAGGTCTGAATAATGTGTATTATTTGATAGTATTTTAGGTTTAAGAGCTGATGCTAGTGATGAAGATGTAAAGAAGTATTATCGTAAACAGGCTGTTTTAGTACATCCCGACAAGGTATCCAGATATATCATTCACAAAAACTTAATACAAGTTGTTAAATAGATATTGATTGAAAACTCTTTTTAAATATCGCAATTTCTATTTTTAGAAATATTTTGAAATACCTTGAAACCATACTTATGTACAGGGCTCAGAATTCACGAAAGCCAATGCGGCCATTGATAGCTTTAACATCGACGGCCAAAAATTGCTGTCGTAAATTTCGGAAAAATTTCCGTCGATGGCACTCATATCGGAAGCCAAATTCATATTGTGTGAGATCTGTTTTTTCCGTAAAACTTAGCTAGGTCAATCTGTCCCATGATTATTGTCTTTTATAGCACGACTGTTCGTGTTCTGTTTCTACGATTAACGTTACTAAAAATAGAACAAATTATCAAAGCAGAAATTGTATGATTGGTAACCCAAAGTAGAGATCGCTTGAGACGCGAGAAATTACGAGATGGAAACGTCAAAATTTTAACAAGCATGAATGTCAGAGAAAAGATTCCATTTTGATGGCATTTTCTAGGGTTTATGATTATATTTTGAATGGGGGCTATGTTTTCAAATAAAGAAATACACAAGCTTAAAATATTTAGAAATGGCGGCAAATATTTTATTGGAATATTTATAGTGTAATTTGTTGTGTTATCTATAGACGATAGCGTGCGTGTCAAGTGCTATATTTAGCAGACGACGTCACTCAGCCTTGTGGAGAGATGGTTTCTAACAAAAAATTTTTTTCGAAATGTCAAGCGTAGAAGGCATATAAGACGAAACCGGACTTCCTTGGGAAAAGAGTATCGATACGTAAATGGATTGTACATTGACATCGTTGATATCGTCACACTTGGAGGAGAAGAATGGAGTTGTCAAGTAGACCATATGTGCGCAGAATTCCCGAGTAGCATAACATAATTAGTGGACGTTTTAGAGCAAGTGTCATTTAAAAAATCGAATGTCGTATGTCATGGAAATCTCAATGTCATTTGAGGGCATTTGCAGCCAAAAACCCATGATTTTTGTCTCCTTATAACATGCAGAATAAAATGAATAGATAGATGGGCCCTTCTTCTTTTCAAAGTCTACCGGTATACAACAATTCACAAAATATTGCATTATGGAAGTTTATTTAAGTTTTCAACAGATTTTTAAAAAAAGGCCTTCGATAATCTCAAAATTGTAAGAATAGCTTTGGTGTTGAACAAAATGTTTTTAGAGATGCTTTGCCGTCTACAGCCATTTTTCAAAAAATGGCCTTAAGATACAGATCAGGGAATTTTGATCCCTGATGTATGATTATAATGTGTCCATTTGTAGTGTTTTAAATTCCACATACGTTGAATTAAACGTTATTACCATTATTTCTCTCAGTATGGTTGAGTCAAAGACTATGATTGAGTACAGAACTGGTTCATATCATACAACATTTCAGTTCTTCCATTAGGCACGCCATTTATTACTGGTACCCATTTACACTGAAAAGATTTCTAATTATAATTGGCCAAATAAAGTTAGGAAGGGACATGGAATGGACTCCATCTGTCAGTATTTCCATCACAATTTCTTGAGTATATCTCATAAACCATTCAAGGTATCTAAATGCAAATTTGTACACACATCACCCTTTTCTCAGTTGAATGATTTTTATAAACTCACATTTTCATGTGGATGTATATTGTTGTTGCCCCCTCCATTCGTTCACAATTTGTTTGTGAACACTCTACAAGTCACAATTTTTATCTGATGTTGACGAAACTTGAAATATAGGTATATATCCCATAGATCTCAGTTACTTTCCATATTGGCATGTAATCTTCATGGATTATGTCTTTAGATTGTGGACACTCTAGAGGTCACAATCTTTATCAGATTTTGATAAAACTTAAAATGTATGTTTATAACCCAAAGACCTAGGTTCTTTTAGCTAATGGCGCAAAAATGACTTTTTGAACTTGTTCTCTGCCCATCTTTTGCAAAATGTGGGCGTATCTTGCATGGCAACTGCTTGTGTGAAGATTTCATGTATCGGACAAGATACAAAAATTTCTATTTAAATTTATTTTTACAGAATCAAGAACTAGGTGCAGAAGAATCTTTTAAGATATTAGGTCATGCTTTTGAAATGATAGGTGAACCGGTAAGTATTGACATGCTATAAATGATGATTTCTATTTCTGACCCTAGATAAGTGTTAAAAGTACGAGCAGGATTGTGTCTGAAAAAAACCTGAATTTGTGTTTGATATTGTCTGTGACCAAGTGTCTTATATTCAGATATGCTGATTTGCCTATAAGATACACACCACTTTATTTTTATTACTTACTAATTTGTTTGTGAAAATATTGCTACTGGTTATGTTTGTGTATTTTAGACAAAGCGATTACAGTTTGATGCTAAAACTAAGGAAGAAACGGATGCAGAATCAGCTATGGTTAGTCCCTTTTCTTTCACCATAAATTCTCTTATCAGGACTCATTCTTTAAATGTAAAAAATAATAGTTTAATAGATAATTGTAAGAGAAACTGAGATATTAAAGATGGGTAAAATTTCTATCATGTAAAGTTACAACCAGAATTTTTTTTTTAATTGTGATTAAAGTCTGTTTCTTATAACCTAGAAAAATATAATTATAGGCTAAATGTGATTAGTAATCAGATGACTTTGCCAGTACAGCTAGTTCACAGGTAGTTGTTTGCACGAGAAGCAGGCTTTAGTGTAGCATATAGATATTGGCCATGGAGGTAGATAATGGCTGGCAGGTGGCAACAAAAAATCATTGTAAAAATTCTGTGAACTGTAAATTAAAAACTGGAAAAATGAATTTGGGAATCCTCCATAAAAGATTGTCAGCTTGCAACTGGGTGTTAGACGGTGTTTTCTGTCTATTTCAATTCTAAACTACATAGCTGTAGGCTACTAACAACTCATAAGGAAACACAAAACAAATATTCTGGTTCCCAGATTGGATCGTAACTTCCTGAATTATGGTCCTTGATTGTACGAAAAATCATGTTTTTTGCCCTGTGGTCCCTCTAGAGGTCACAATTATTATCTGTTGATCTAGTTCGAATTTCGTGAAAATCAGACGAAAACTGCCGGTCAAAATGCTACACAAATAGTGTAAACATATGATATATCAAGGTTGTGGACCCTCTAGAGGCCACAATTTAAATCTGAATTTGATGAAAGTTGAAATACATATTTATAACCCAAAGATCTTGATTCATTTCGATATTCCCGCCTATTGCATTGTAATTTCCTGAATTATGGCCCTTGATTCTACGAAAAATCGGACCAAAACTACCTGACAAAATTGCAGCTTCTTAATCCATTTTGAAACGAACCGGCCAGAATTGGCTCAAATGAGGTTTCGGGTAGGAACTGGGTTATAAAAATTTTAAGCTTCCCTTCCCTTTAATATAACCAGACTTCAACAAAAATAATTCTTGTTAATTCTTGTTATGAGGAATATCGTATCCCTACTGTATGTAATTAGCACAAAAATAACGACAAATAGATACATCGTTCGGAAAATTTACCATATTTAATTCACGTACCGGCTTGAAATTCATGTCATTAATATTCCTGAATAAATTACTGTGTTTGGTTTGTTTTTTTTTTTTGATGGATATAAGCTGATATGGTATTTCTTTATAATACAATTTTTAGGGTTTTTTTTCTATCATGTAATGATTTTCTTCATTCGTCCATGATAGACACAAGGCACAGTGATCACGTGACAACCATAATTGAAATGGCTTTAATAGTAAATTCCATAAGACTGTGCCATATATATGTGAGCGCTGCGCTGTATCATATACGGTCTGTCATTGAGTCAACTGGCGGGGTTTCGATTCCCCGGTTGTACGTGACAAGGAGAAGGGTCGCCTGTCCAATCTCATGGGTTTTCTCTGGGTCCTCCGGTTTCCTCCCACTGCTAAATACCCCTACGCGCAAGCGAATTATTGAAATAAAATTGAACGATGTGTTAGTCACGAAATGATCTAGTTTGTGTCGAGTGGACTTTAAACCCCATTTCTCTCTCTCTCTCTCTGTGCCATATAGCTTTCAATGACAATAACGACAATATTTTTTTTTAAAAATAAGCCTCTGTCAGCATGTGTATAAAGTAAACGCTATTTAAAACTAAAACTAGCATCGCTGGCTTAATTACCTAATTCCAACTGATACAATGTGTCATCGAGAATACAGCATTGGAGAATCATAATATATTATTAATGACTGTTTCTCGGTGTATTCGGTGTTCTATCCGAGGATTATATTGTCAGTGAAACCATTAAATTATGATCCAATTGATATTTTAATAACTACCGGTACACCTGGAATTCATACAAAACTTCGAAGCCGCACGATAGATGCACAATCCATGCCGAATTCGTCTTCCTTCGTTTGCCGAGTGGCTGTTATGAATAGTCAGCAAAGTTGTTTTGTTTTTTTACTGGCCAATTATCAAAATTACGGTTATAGTCTGGAGGCTCAGCGCGGGGGGGTGTCCATCAAATGGGCACAAAACCAGACCCAACTTTTCTAGAGTGAAATTTTGCGTAGAATACGATGCCGAGTGGTAATCAGTCCGCCGCTGTGAAAATAAATCGGAGAGATTTCGATTTGACAGTTTTTACGTATTTTTGAAAAAGGTTTCAAAATGTGTTGGTTCTGTTATGCAAGATCATTTTCGACGTTCCAAAGTAAAAGTTCTGTGCTAAGACCACCTAAAGATAAATTTTAAATGTTCCTATTATTAATTAGAACAGATTTCGCTTTAGTTTTTATAATTTACGTTGACATTTTATTGCTTTAAATCTCCCTAGTGCAAAAACGGTAAATTTTACCTTTTGACCTCCAGGATCACTAAGACTAAAGGTGAATTTAGCAAGTTTACATTTTTATTGAAAGTGTGATTACTGTCGATCATGTTCAGCTTCTTTTCATAATACAAGAATGACTACGCATTCACTTTCAGTGCAAATGAACTCATTTGACCTTTGACCCCGAATATCTCGAAAACGCCCCAACGGCGGACTGATTACCACTCTGCATCGTATTCTACGCAAAATTTTACCCTAGAAAAGTTGGGTCTGGTTTTGTGCCCATTTGATGGACACCATCCCGCGCTGAGCCTCCGGTCTATTACTTGTGATAATTACTCGGATTATGAACTACATGGCCGATTTTCACTAAGGTAAGACTGTTATTTTAGCCGTCAAGCAAGTTGATTGACTACTTAATTAACAAGTAATAATTAACCCGTTGTAATTTAGTCGAAAGTAGATTGATTTATGATGCCATAGTGGCCGGTTCATTGTTTTACCAATCGGCTTGATTGAACTTCAAGCGACTAAAGCCGACAAAAAACAACCGATTAAGATCCTTGGGATAAACGCATCTCGGGAAATTAAACCACTCCTCTAATAAGTAAACAAGGTAAATAAGTGAACTGGTCGTCCATTTATAAACGCTTCTCGGACAAACTAAACGGGTTACCATTTAACTAAGCAATAGTACTAACTAAACCGTTTTTGTAATTCTCGAACGATTTTTGACAATTATCAAGCGATTTTTATCAATTATCTAACGATGAATTGAAAGTAAACCATATGTATACTAACTAGCGCTAAAACCCCCATTCTAAACCATGCCATTGTTACAGTGTAATATTCCAACATTTCCAACATTACGATTTGATCTTTTGATCCTGTTCAGAACAGAGGGAATATATAGAATCTGAACTGTACCTTTCAATGACATACCTTTGATATGGTTTATTACATATATATTCAATGTATACAATCTTCCTTGAATAGTTCTGAATAACAATTTGATTATCATACACGCACACAATCATTATCTGATTTGTCAAACAAATTCAACTGTCAAATCTGGTTGAATATTGTGAATAAAAAGAGTTAAAATGTAATAAAAATACTGAAATGTGTTCCAAACATGTGAGTAGAAAATTGTAATTATTTGACTGTCTTTCTTGTATATATATGTATTTTTCAGAGAGAATTTGCTGATTTACTCACAAAACTACAAGAAAAAATTCAAGAGGTGAGCTTTCAGTGAATTTCTTTATGACAACGGCTACATGCATACCATACAAAACATACATACATACATACCCTTTTGACAATTATTAATTTATTCTTATCCAGCGGGGGCGGGAATGGCCAAATGGTTAGCACGTGCGCGCTGTGTCATAAGGTCTGTCATTGAGTCAACTGGCGTTTTTTCGATTCCCCGGTTGTATGTGACAAGGAATAGGGTTGCCTGTCCAATCTCGTGGGTTTTCTCCGGGTCCTCAGGTTTCCTCCCACTGCTAAAGAACCCTACGCGCAAGTGAATTATTGAAATAAAATTGAAACTCCATTTCTCTCTCTCTCTCTCTCTCTCTCTCATCCAACAAAGGCTGTCAGAAGGAAAAAGAGATCATTACCTCAGAACATTGCAAAATTTTATTTTTCAGGCTGCTAATTTAATGCGTTGTGATAATTGTGGAGGTAAACATAAAAGAATACCTATTAACCGCCCCTGGTATAGTGCTAGATTCTGTGACAAGTGTAATATAAACCATTCAGCTAAAGAGGTGAGTCTTCTTCCTTTGTCATTTGATACAATCTTCCAAATATTTCCATTGAGTTCAAAATAATGACAGAATCATTATCATGCACCGTCACATAACCTAGAATTGAAATTCCAGTTACAACCCATTATAAAATGCTTATATTAGTGGTCTAGTTTAACAGGTTAATTGAATGCTCGTATAGTGAACACCTATTATTGGCAGGGCGTAGTCAAAATAAGTGCTTCCTTATGTACGTTCTGAACTGGACAAATTCTCTTTTAAGACACATTCAAAATATATGTCCTGCAAAAATGTTTGTTTTGTATTATATTGGCACTTAAAACAATATTCCATCCTCATACATTTTATAGTGATTTGCAAACAGGTAGGTCTCTTCGCCTTTCGATTATTAGATCATAGATCTTATTGGGAAATAATCACTCTGTGTTAACCTGTCTCTATGATCTTAGGGTATGATTTTGAACACAGTTGATTGTTATACACCAATTGAAATATCACAATTGAATTCTGCTTTGAAATAAAATTGAAACTACTTGACAACATGCTCGACAAACCTTTTATTCTTCATTCATATTCATTAATAATATTTATCATACTGACAGGTCATATTTTCTCTGTTACATTTTAGTAAACATGTATTCTTGTATAACAAAGTAGGGGGTTGGATGGCCTAATGGTTAGCACGCGCGCTGTATCTTAAGGCCTGTCAACTGGCATGGTTTTGAATCCCCAGTTTTATGTGACAAGGAGTAGGGTCACCTGTCCAACCTCGTGGGTTTTCCCCAGGTCCTCTGGTTTCCTCCCAGCGCTAAAGATCCCTATGTGCAAGCGGATTATTGAAATAAAATTGAACCATATGTTAGTCCCGAAATGACCTAGTTTGTGGCGAGTGGACGCAGATTATTGAAATAAAATTGAACCATATGTTAGTCCCGAAATGACCTAGTTTGTGGCGAGTGGAGGTTATACCCCATTTCTCTTTCTCTCTCTCTGTCTCTCTGTATAACAAAGTAAACAAGATTGAGATGATCCATAATGATAATGTAGGAAGGTTTTTATATGCCCACATTTTCATGGGGAAGTATATTGTCGTTGGTTGTGAACACTCTGCAGGTCACAATTTTTATCTGATTTAAATGAAACTTTCGATATTGGCATGTATCGGACTGTAACTTCATGGATTATGGCCCCTGATTGTACGAAAAATCACGTTTTTAACTTGTGAACACTGTAGAGGTCACACTTTTTATCCGATTTGGTTAAAACTTGAAATATATGTTTATAAACCTACAGATCTTGGTTCCTTTCGATATTCACACATATCGGACCATAACTTCCTGAATTATGGCCCCTGATTTTATGAAAAATCACGTTTTTAGCTTGTGGACCCTAAAGAGGTCACAATTTTTATCCGATTTCCAAAACCGTTGTAGTATATGACCGTTACACATTAAGGATGGCTGAGTTCGAATTTCGTAAAGATCGGACCGATTTTGATGAAACTTAAAACATATCTTTATATCCCAAAGATCTCTGTCCCTTTTGATATTTGCACATTTCAGGCCATAACTTTCTGGATTATTGCCCCTGATTGTACAAAAAATTGCATTTGTGTTTAGCTTGTTCTCTATCCATCTCTTGCAAAATGTGGGCGTATCCTGCCTGGCAGCCGCTGGTTGAGCATTTAATACTGTGTAGTTCAACATGCCCGAGGGGTTTAATACATTTAGGTACATTTACTTATGACAGTCAAGGTTTGGACTAAAATGCCTTCGAAATCGATAGCGGAGTTGACTGGCATGTGTCTCCCTTTGGTGGACCAAGGTGAAAATGTCTGTTGAATTAACTGGACGGGTAGGCCTGTCATCCTTCGATAATGTGTCTTTGTTGAGTGAGTAGATCCTTTTCAACAAGATTCAAACCTTGACTGTCATATAATTGAACTATTTGGTACTAATCAGTCTGAAGAGTTCAGTGCAAACAAAACTAGTCACCGACACCTGGGCTAACCAAGTCTTCATTCATAGCCACTCTTATCTCTTATAAACATGTATTCTTGTTTTCAGGGTGATGTGTGGGCAGAGACTTCAATGTTAGGATTTTTATGGCATTATTATGCTATAATGGATGGAAATGTTTATGATATAACTGAATGGGTTGCATGTCACGTAAGTTACTTATATTGAACTTGAATCAGGGATTTGGTATTATATTGATTGACTGGAAATGGTATAAGTTTGATCTAATGATAATATGAACAAGTCATCGGTTACACTATCTACCATCTGTTGGTCATGTTTACCAATGTATGCTACTGATCTATTTTATATGGAATTATTTGAAATTACTGAGCTATATTTGTTGACTTCAGATTTATAGTTTACTAAATTAAGAATATCAAATGTGTTGGTTCAGGCAGTAGATTATGGAACAACTATTGGGGTGGGACTTATCGACTTTACTGCCAATGACGTATATTTACTGTTTTTTTATATCTGAAGCACGTGGTTTATGTAAACAAATATGTCAAGTTAGCAAAATGTTGACTTCTCCGGTAAAAGCGATATATACTATTCAAAAAAAGTAGGGGATATTTGATTTTTAAGTGTTATTAAAGTCACCTAATGAAACTGACGAAGAAACAAATGACAAAATGAAATGAAGTTCACATTCATCGATTTATTCCAAATGATCGTTAGAATAAGTAAGGCACAGACTGACCATTATAAGGGTAAAATGATACCCGGGGTCAAACAGCAAAGTTACCACAGCATCACAACCAAGTCAGTAACAGGTAAATCCTCCTCTGTTTGCCAAACAAGCATTGATCCGACGTGGCATACTCCTAATGAGACGTCTAAGGTCATTTTGGTCCAGATTGTCCCATTCCTGTTGCAACGCAGCAGCAAGTTCTTGGACATTGGCAGAACGTTGTTGACGTTGACGTAACCTCTGTCCAAGCATGTCCCAGACATGCTCGATGGGGGAGAGGTCGGGACTCAGTGCTGGCCAAGGTAATGTGGTGATGTTCTGTTGTTGGAGGTAACCTGTAACGATCCTGGCCCTGTGACATCTTGCGTTGTCATCCTGGAAGATGAAACGGCGGCCATGACGTCGTGCGAACGGCACAACATGGACTGCCAAGATGTTGTCCCGGTAGTACTGGCCAGTAACACGCCCTGCAACAACATGTAAAGCCGTTCTTCCAGCAACAGTGATGCCTCCCCACACCATAACAGAACCACCCCCAAATCGATCATGTCTGATGACGTTAACGTCTTGGAAGCGCTCGTTTCGACGACGCCACACCCTCCTACGTCTGTCAAAAAAATCAACAGTGAACCTTGACTCATCTGAAAACATCACATTGCTCCAGCGTCGATTATCCCAGTGTTGACGATCCCTACACCAACGACGTCTTGCCTGAATGTGATGATCTCTCAAACAAGGGATCACGCGAGGACGTCGGGCGCGAAGGTGACCTCTATGCAGTCGATTCCGAATCCTCTGGCCACTCACTCTCACACCAGTGTCTGTTTGAAGACGAGCGCTGATCTGATTTGCTGTGATGACACGATATCTCAAGGCCAAGGTACGGATAAATCGATCCTGGGCTTGAGTTGTCGCCCTTGGTCGACCTGAGCGTGGTCTGTCCTGTACAGATTGTGTATCACGGTATCTGGACCATAGCCTGCTTATGACAGACTGAGAAACATTCATCGTCCGCGCCACAACCGCCTGTGTTGTGCCGATCTGTAGCATGCCAAGGGCACGTAACCGACGCATATCAAAATTTGTTTTCTGGTCACTAAAACAATTAAACTGATGTTTCCACCCTGGAACTCAATGCCACAATGACTGTAACATTCAAAGTCAGAGTCGTGCAAATCTTGGGTTGGACCCCCATGATGATCCCAAGCATCACCTGCATTCCATGCGGTAGCTATTGGTGCGTTTGGGCGTCACATGTAACTGGAAATGTTTCTTCTGTTAGGTTCTATAGTGACTTTTTTCGTAGTCATTTGCATATTTTAGTATTATGCCCCCAAAATCAAATATCCCCTACTTTTTTTGAATAGTATATAATATGTGCCAATGGGTGATATTGCAATACAGTCTTTATCATTGTAAACTGCCTTTAGAGTTTCAATCTGATTGTCTTTCAAGACAAGGTTAGGTACTCCTAAATTTGTCTTCGCAAACAAAGCCACTTCTGTGAACGTATCTTTCATGGGCGCCGCCTTATTGAATAATTGGTTAACTATTTTGTGCTTTGGCTCTAATCCGTTTGACATCTTTCATACACACAACGGCTAAATAAACATATTAAATTTCAGTGAATATGAAAACAAGAGAAATGAATACTTATAAAAAATTCTAAAGGCATACTCAGTGTTTTCGACTAAAATCGTTGATGTAGAAATTAAAATGTTGGTTAATTAGGTTAGGGCCTGTGCTCAGGCGGTGCTAACTGTAGACAGGCAGCCTAAGTTTGGGATGTTTACAACCATAGATTCTATGAACAGATATTTAAATATTCAAAGCTTGGTATAGTTTTCTTTTTCCTGCCAGTTGGCCTAGTAATTTTTATCTTCATGTTTATTGTTGTTTTGTATTACAGAAAGATTTTTTCAAACATATGCAGGCCAATGCCCACCCCATTTTATATAGAATAGCTACAGATGGAAATAGAAATCACAGAAGTCAAGGACAATCAAGGTATGTCACAATATTTCTGTCAAACTTCTGCAGTCCACCATTATCAAGGTATTCTTAGTCTTAGTCCGTTTAATGTATATCTATTTAACTGTATGAAGGAAAGTTAAATTTCATCTAGGTTAGTTCTAAGTAAATCATGAAGTTTATAAACATGACTCACTATTTAAATTGTAAAACTGCCCAATCCACTCCCCTTATTTTCAAAGGTCGGATTATAACAGCAAAAACCAGCTTTTGATCTCTCAAATGTCTAGACTTCTTTAGGCTGTGTTGAATTGATTCCTTGTTTCTCCTCGCCTGCGCGCTTGCCATTTTAACACAACAAAAAAATGTTCAAAAAATTGTGTTAATAACATCTAAATAAAATTCTACCAAACATCAGAACCAGAAGTCAATTCTCGTTGTTTATTCCTCGTTACGAACCAAAGATGTTGATAATACACATGTAGGGCTCGCATACCATTGAATAATTTATACTGCATTTGATTTATATCAAAATATGAAACAAGAAGCCACTGACTTGTTACAAAATTTTAATTTGTTATTAAATTTATTCAATTAAAGATGGGTTCCCGCGTACAAACTTGGTGATTTAATGGTATATATGGACCAAAAACATATTCAAACTAATTAATTTGTCATAATTATGCTTCAAATCCTTCTCAAACACTGTAATTGCGAAGGAATGCCCTGCTATTAAAATTCGATCAAACCAGGTCATGTTTACGTCACGTCTTGGGAGTCAGAGGAGAAATCATTGCATACATAAGACGATGTTGTCTTTAATCGCTTACTATTTATTACAAATATCGAATTCTAATTAAATTCTCGGATTATCCCCACCCGCCTCTTTTTCCGTCATTTTTATCTCAGAAAGTATTGTACGTGTAACTCTTCATAAAGTTTATCAACTTGTACATCAATTCTAATTAAATTCTCGGATTATCCCCACCCGCCTCTTTTTCCGTCATTTTTATCTCAGAAAGTATTGTACGTGTAACTCTTCATAAAGTTTATCAACTTGTACATCAAGCGCTCCATGTTCGCTTGTGACCTTTGACATCGTGCGTTCAGAAGGTCATAATCGTCGGGCTGTTGATTAGGGGAACCCTTACATTTTTGTCCTGTATGCGCTCCATGAGTGTTTTTCGGGGAATCCAGTATTTTTCTAGTAAGATTGGATATCTCTACTTTCCATATATACCAAAATTGCCATACTTTTATTGGAAATAACCACCCGATAAATACTTTTCTGGGAACCCATCTTTAAATATTATCTGTGTTTTTATTCAAAGCAATAAGTAGATTATTTATAATATTAAAAAAGGTACACAACCCTCAGATTCTAGATATTATAATAGACCACTTTGTGTTTTAAAACCCACTTTGTGTTGTGTTTACCGCACTACCGCACATGATTGCCAGAGTGGTGGCAGGAGAAACAAGGAATCAATTCAACACAGCCTTACTAATAGAGCGATTTGCCTCATGAGCAGGGCTGTCGGTAATTTTTCACAGTTGCATTGCTAATCAAAAAGTCCAATTTGGCCAAATTTGATTAGCAAATTTTAAAATTGATAAGCAGTTTTTCAGTTTCAACATAAAACACCTAAATAACAAGATATTACTTTAATTTTAATTCATAGTAAATGATTAGATTTTTGGATAGGTCTTGTGCCTGAAGCCAATTCTTGGCAGTGGCTTCCAATTCCGCACTCATTTAATTCTTATTTCTTCATTAGAAACCAATTTCGTCTGCTTCTTATCGTGTGTTACAATTTTTGTTCACTCGGACGCACATGGTATTTTACGAATAATGTAACACTATTTTCTATTGAAATGGCGCTTGCCACCCACAGTTTCACAGATAAACGTTTCAGTCCTGCATTTTGGTTTATTTTGGTTTTTTTTACCAACTCATTGGATGTCTAGTGGTGAAAACTCTTTTGTCTGCCACAGGTTTTTTTGTCCCCCGCCTTTCGAAGAAAGCAGGGGACTATTAAAATGGGTTCGTCTGTCTGTCTGTCTGTCCGTCTGTCCGTCCGTCTGTCTGTCCGTCACACTTTTTGGGACACAAAACTCTCTTCCTAATTGAGCTAGAATGTTCAAACTTGGTGTATGTGTTTATTAGGTCAATGCCTTGATGGAGTTCGAAGATGAGCATTTTCCGCTTAGGGTAAGCAGAGATAAGCAATTTGATTGGTTGATGCTTTGGGACACGATAACTCTCTTCCTAATTGGGCTAGAATGTTCAAACTTGGTGTATGTGTTGATTAGGTCAATGCCTTGATGGAGTTCGAAGATGAGCATTTTCCGCTTAGGGTAAGCAGAGATAAGCAATTTGATTGGTTGATGCTTTGGGACACGATAACTTTTAATTGAGCTAGAATGTTCAAACTTGGTGTATGTGTTTATTAGGTCAATGCCTTGATGGAGTTCGAAGATGAGCATTTTCCGCTTAGGGTAAGCAGAGATAAGCAATTTGATTGGTTGATACTTTAGGGCACGATAACTCTCTTCCTAATTGAGCTAGAATGTTCAAACTTGGTGTATGTGTTGATTAGGTCAATGCCTTGATGGAGTTCGAAGATGAGCATTTTCCGCTTAGGGTAAGCAGAGATAAGCAATTTGATTGGTTGATGCTTTGGGACACGATAACTTTAGTTCTAATTAAGTGAGATTGATGAAACTTGGTGTATAGATTTATTATATGAATACCTTAACTAAGTTCGATAATGAACATTTTTTGCTGAGGGTAAGCAGAGTGATAAGCAATTTGATTGGTAGAAACTTTGGAACACAATAACTCTCCTTCTAATTGAGGTAGAATGTTCAAACTTGGCATAGGTGTCTATTAGGTGAATGTTTAAACTTGATGTATATGTAGATGTTCATTAGGTGAATGTCTTGACTGAGTTCAATAATTAACATTTCGAGCTGAAGCTAAGCAGAGCTAATCGATTTCATTTGTCGATGGTTTGGGACAAGATAATCTTGATTCTATCTGATAGAGAGTGATGAAACTTAGTGAAAAAAATAAATGTGCGATTAATTAATATGTGTCATCTATTTATTTTGCAATTTCGGCGGGGGACATCAGCCTCACTGTTGGCTTGTTTTCATTATCACGGGTTAGAATATCAAACAGTTACATAAATACAACATGAACTAAACTACATCGGGAACTAGCCTACAACAGGAACACATATAACAATATTAAATCCACCATTCCGCCCCTCTGCCAAAGCATCGGCTGAACTTGGTTGAGTCTGTGCACTCGTCCAAGCCTCTCTTCTCCTCCATGCTCGCCTCTCTAACTGTCAGTAAACTCCTGATTATATAGCGCCGGAGAATAGATAAGACTCATATAAACAATAATATTTTACGGGAATTCTTTGATTTCTGATTTTACAATACGTATACACATATTTATTTTTATAAATACGTACAATACGTATATTGTCGTCGCCCCTGTCCGTCCAGACGTCCATCCGTCCGTCCACAATTTGTTTGTGAATTTGTTTGTGGACTCTCTACAGGTCACAATTCTTGTCCGATTTTGACGAAACTTGAAATATAGGTTTATCCCCAAAAGATCTCGACTGCTTTCGATATTGGCATGTATCGGATCGAAACTTCGTGGATTATGGCCCATGTTTGTACGAAAAATCACGTTTTTAGCTTGTGGACCCTATAGAGGTCACAATTTTTATCCGATTTTGTTGAAACTTGAAATGTAGGTTTATAACCCAAAGATCTCAGGTCCTTTCGATATTCGCGCATATCGGACCGTAAATTCCTGAATTATGGCCCCTGATTGTACGAAAAATCGTGTTTTAGCTTGTGGACCCTATAGAGGTCATAATTTTTATCCGATTTAAAAAAACCGTATTATTATATCACCGTTACACCCTAAGTACGACTGAGTTCAAATTTCGTGAAAATCGGCCCAAAATTGACAGACAAAATGGCCGCCGTTCGTTCTCAAATAGCGTAAAAATATGGTATATCAAGGTTGTGGACCCTATAGAGGTCACAATTTTTATCCGATTTTGTTGAAACTTAAAATGTAAGTTTATTACACAAAGATCTCAGTTCCTTTCGATATTCGCGCATATCGGACCGTAACTTTCTGAATTATGGCCCCTGATTGTACGAAAAATCACGTTTTTAGCTTGTGGACCCTATAGAGGTCATAATTTTTATCCAATTTAAAAAATCGTTTTATTATATCACCGTTGCACCCCAAGGACATTTGAATTTCGTGAAAATCGGCCCAAAACTGATAGACAAAATGGCCGCTCTTCGTTCTCAAATAGGGTAAAAATATGGTATATCAAGGTTGTGGACCCTATAGAGGTCACAATTTTTATCCGATTTTGTTGAACCTTGAAATGTAAGTTTATACCACAAAGATCTCGGTTCCTTTCGATATTCGCGCATATCGGATTGTAACTTCCTGAATTATGGCCCCTGATTGTACAAAAAATCACATTTTTAGCTTGTGGACACTATAGAGGTCATAATTTTTATCCGATTTAAAAAAACGTATTATTATATCACCGTTGCACCCCAAGGACGACTGAGTTCGAATTTCGTGAAAATCGGCCCAAAACTGACAGAAAAAATGGCCACCCTCCGTTCTAAAATAGCGTAAAAATATGGTATATCAAGGTTGTGGGACCCTATAGAGGTCACAATTTTTATCCGATTTTGTTGAAACTTGAAAGGGAAGTTTATAACACAAAGATCTCGGTTCCTTTCGATATTTGCGCATATCGGACTGTAACTTCCTGAATTATGGCCCCTGATTTTACAAAAAATCGCATTTTTAGCTTGTGAACCCTATAGAGGTCATAATTTTTATCCGATTTTGTTGAAACTTGAAATGTAAGTTTATAACCCAAAGATCTCGGTTCCTTTCGATATTCGCGCATATCGGACCGTAACTTCCTGAATTATGGCCTCTGATTGTATGAAAAATCGTGTTTTTAGCTTGTGGACCCTATAGAGGTCATAATTTTTATCCAATTTAAAAAAACGTATTATTATTACACCGTTACACCCTAAGGACAGCTGAGTTCGAATTTCGTGAAAATCGGCCCAAAACTGACAGACAAAATGGCTGCCCTTCATTCTCAAATATAGCGTAAAAATATGGTATATCAAGGTTGTGGACCCTATAGAGGTCACAATTTTTATCCGATTTTGTTGAAACTTGAAATGTAAGTTTATAACCCAAAGATCTTAGTTTTTTTTCGATATTAGCGCATATTGAATTTTAATTTCCTGAATTATGGCCTTTGATTGTAGGAAAAATCACTTTCTTCTTGGCTTGTTCTCTATCCATCTCTCGAAAATGTGGGCGTATCTTGCCTGGCAGCCGCTGGTTTCATATTTTATTTACAATACGTGGGGGATACACTGGATTTATATTTTTGTCCCCTGCCTTTGGAAGAAAGCAGGGGACTATTAAAATGGGTTCGTCCGTCTGTCTGTCCGTCACACTTTTTGGGACACAATAACTCTCTTTCTAATTGAATTAGAATGTTCAAACTTGGTGTAGGTGTTTATTAGGTCAATGCCTTGATCGATCGAAGGTGAGCATTTTCTGCTTAGGGTAAGCCGAGATAAGCAATTTGATTGGTTGATGCTTTGGGACACGATAACTTTAGTTCTAATTAAGTGAGAGTGATGAAACTTGGTGTATAGTTTCATTACATCATAACCTTGACTAAGTTTGATAATGAGTATTTTCTGCTCGGGGTAAGCAGAGCGATAAGCAATTTGATTGGCCGAGACTTTGGAACACAATAACCCTCCTTCTAATTTAGCTAGAACGTTCAGACTTGGTGTAGGTGTTTATTAGGCAAATGAATTGATGGAGTTCGAAGATGAGCTTTTTCTGCTTAGGGTAAGCAGAGATAATCAATCTGATTGGTTGATGCTTTAGGAGCACGATAACTTTGGTTATAATGAAGTGAGAGCGATGAAACTCTGAATATAGATTTATTATAATTTATATCATTACCTTGACTAAGTTCGATTGTGCGAATTTTCTGCTCAAGCTAAGGATCGATAAGCAATTTGATTGTTCAAGACTTTTGAACATAACAACTCTGCTTTTAATTGAGGTAGAATGTTGATGTTCATTAGGTTAATGTCTTGACTGAGTTCAATGATTAACATTTCGAGCTAAAGCTTTGGGACAAGATAACTTTGATTCTATCTGATAGAACTTAGTGTATAGTTGATAATCAATTTGATTGCTTGATACTTTTGAAAAAAATAAATGTGTGATTAATTAATATGTGTCATCAATTTATTTTGGGATTTCGGCGGGGGACATCAGCCTCACTGTTGGCTTGCTTTTTTTTTTCAAATTCAATACTGATATAATTACTTGAAATTGACATGTCTCGCAACATGAGTGGTACTACTTGAGTCCCTATTTCCGGTTTAATAGTCCCTATTCATAGAGTTATGTCCCTGTATTATATAGTATAATGAATTGTGTCTGGGTAGTCGATATACGTTGAAAGTGTTGAGAAAGCCTTCTAGTCTTCAAAATGTGGATAAATCTTCGTATCAATATCATTATCCAAATGTGGATAAATCTTTGTATCAATATCCAAAAAGAAAAGGCATATTAATGATTACTGCGAATCAAAAATGTAGATTTTAATTTTTGATCAGCAACGGACAAAATATGTATCGCAAATTGTGCTGAGATACTGGTTGTCGGCAGCCCTGCTCATGAGACATCCAAATAAAATTATAATTTCATGAAAGATGTAATATTATGTAAGATTTTGATAAAGATCTGGTCATTCTTCCTATAACAGTAGGGTGACCTGTGCACTCTACAGAAAGTTGGTCTCGACACGGCTAATGTGCAGGCTTCAGTGGTTGTGTCTCGAACTATCAGCGGTGGAGTGTATGATACTATAAATAGCCATGGCACGTGCAATTCTCTACAAATCTATCAACTATAACAGCCGTAAAAAATCTATTGTAGAAGATTTTGAATAGCAGTAAAATTTAGCTTCTTGTTTATTACAGCAGTTTTAGAAATTACGTTCGTTTTATTTTTTAAATTGCTTTATCATTAACTGTACCGTTAAGAGCGGCATCTTTTAGTTTAGTACAAATAATATCTCTAAATCACTTTCGTTAGCAGAAACATGATACTAGCAGTAGTTTCATTTTACTTTTACAAGTTCCTTAAAACAATTGTTGAGCTGGCTAATGTGCGTGTTTCTAAATTCAATTTCTTGTTCCAGCTTTCTGTTATGTTTCGTAAAAAGGTAGTCTTGATTATCCCGACCTGTCAATCAGACCTATAATGGTTGGTACACTGGTTAAGTGGGAATAATTTCAAAACAAGGGCACATAACCTATCTTTTACTCAAAAGTGTCTGGATGTTATGGACGACACTTGGAACCAGTTTCAGTCTATTATTTATAGATGATTAAATGGTCATAGCTTATTAAGTACAACATGATTGTTTATTTAGTGACTATAATTGTGTGAAACTGATTTAAGGCTTGGTATATATATAAATATTGTGGAGTAATTGTCGAGATATTTGGAGATATTTATTTATGGTGGGTCACCCTAATAATAGTTTAAAACTCCATAATGCAAAAGGAATCTATTGAAAATTCCAGCCAAATTACCTTATTCTGAGCAAGGTTTTCAGTCTTTGCAGTTTTCACAATATAGTCTTCATCATTAAGTAACATTGCTACGATAATAAACAAAATCTTGATTATCCATTTTTAAATTAAATTATTAAATGACGATCGTGTTTCAATCCATTGAAAATCGTGACTATCTGATGATCTAGAAAGTGGATTATGGACTTGTCATGTCATTAACCCGTTAAGCGTGACATTTTGAAAACGTTAACTATCCTCTATTGTTCTAAGAATAGGTTGGGGAAAATACCTCCAAGGCGTTATATTACGCCCTACACACAGTGAGTGGCAGTTGTCCAGGATGTTATATAACGACCTACGCACTTAACGGGTTAAATGTCTAAATAATTGTTTATATAAGATTTAAAGCCAAAGGAGAAACCTGCACTAGGCAGATTTAGCTCTTACTTTATGCCTCTTTTGTAGCAGAAGTGTTTACCTTCATTTATAAACCATAAAAAGGTAATGTTTGGTCTGAAAGTATATCATTTAATTTTGATAGAAAATCAGAATTTTAGCCCCCTACTCATAGTAGTGGGTGGGGCATAGATGACTTCAAGTGGAATTTTAAGTGAGCTTTAAAAGTGTATAAAAACACTATAACAACTTCTACAATTTTCACATAATCACATGTTGCATATTGATGAACCGAAAACAAAATTGAAATATAACTGTGATTCAGTAAGAAATTTTGGTTAAATCCCAGATTGCCATTCATTAAAGTGGTTATCATTTACAAATGATTTTTTTTATCTACACAAGAGTACAAGTAGTGTCTAATGCTTGTACTTTTGAAAGTATAAGGGTTAAACAAATAAAAATATTAAACTGTGCACTTTATTTGTTTGTTAGACACTCTTGCTGCTTGAATAATTCATCTACATTTGTTTACAGGGAAGCTGAATTAGAAGATTTTATAAGTCAACTATTTAACAAAGCAAATATGACCGAGGGTGGTGGCGCCTCAACACCTTGGCAACAACAAAAGTCTCAATCTGCACCTTCATCACAATGGAACCCAAATTCTGGGGGAGGCAAAAAATCTCGTAAGAAGAAGAAACGACATTAATATCAGGCATGGTGTTAAAGGTCTTTGTTTAATGGAAAACTGAATACAACGGTTCTATTCACCCTTTAATACAGTCAATTTACGTACATGGATGTTAACATTTCAGCTGTATTGTAAAGTTTCTGAATTATATACTTATGGTTAATGGGAATCCTGGCATTGCTGTTGAACTGATTATTTGATAAATGTTGTAATTTGGTGCAATGACAATTTACCATAAATCTGTATTTCTAGTTCAGTAAATGTTGATTTTGTCCCCCCCCCCCCCATTTCGAAGAAAGCAGGAGACTACTAAAATGGGTTTGTCCCTCTGTCTGTCTGGTCAAGACTTTTGAACATAACAACTCTGCTTTTAATTTAAGTAGAATGTTTACACTTGATGTAGATGTTCATTAGGTGAATGTCTTGACTGAGTTCAATGATTAACATTTCAAGCTAAAGCTAAGCAATTTTAATTGATCGATGCTTTGAGACAAGACAACTTTGATTCTATCTGATAGAGAGTGATGAAACTTAGTGTATAGTTGATAATCAGTTTTATTGCTTGATACTTTTGAAAAAATAAATGTGCGATTAATTAATATGTGTCATCTATTTATTTTGGGATTTCGGTGGGGGACATCAGCCTCACTGTTGGCTTGTTTTTTTATAATTCAAGTATGTTCTAAAACTCCCTATAAAAATACTCCACTTATCAGGGCTCTTTACCATGAATTTACATCTAAGTTTCACAAAAAGTGAGTACACTCCCCTCGTTACCATTTGACCTAATCTTTTTTTTAAAAATTTAAATTTATTTGTAGATTCATTCTGTAATAGGTTTACACTTTTTTCTTAATGGCTGGTTATATCTATTGAAATATTGCCAGATTACTTAAATTTTACCATATTATGTAGTGGTAGTAGGTTAGTGCTACAATTTTGTCTTTCTTGGACATATGTGACCATTTTTGGCTTTTTTAAGAGACACGGGAGTCAAAAAAATCAAAACATAGCTATGCTGACATTTAGCTTGTATATTCAAAGATTTTTAAATTGGTATGCCATATATACATTTATCATTAAAAATGTCTGAGATATTTAGCAATCAAAAACAGTAAATTCAGTACATTTCTGATTAGTTTAGTGTGTCTCTTTTATGATCAGACCTGGTCACATATGTGATGTATGCACTCCTTTAAGTTTAGCTAAAGACCTAGTTTATTGAAATTTTAAGTCAATTTGAATTATAAATTTTTAATATTCTACTTACTATAGATAACTACACAACTTTAAATAACAATATTTTCGAACCATAGATAATGCTAAAAATTAAAATAATAATTTAACTGAATTAAGTGTACCACATACAATATTGAAAATATGTGTTCATGATTTGATTAAATAAAATGTCCTGTCTATATGTCTCAGATTCAGTGATTAATTGGCTTCTACAATGTTGACAGACATTTAGACTTGATATTTTAACAACTGATGTGTAACTAAATCAAGCCCTTTATGTAAGCCATAGTGTGTTCTATGAAATATAACATGTTGCTATGTTATCCATGTTACATGTTATGTATTACTAGTCAAGTTAAATAAGACATATTCTTAATCCAGGTTGTCAAAAATTGTCTTAAATACATGGAAAAACTGCTTGAAAATATAGCGAAATGAGTAATATTTATCTTAGATGGTCATTTTTTGGATGTTGTCATAAAATCTTATAAATAGTTGATTGTTAAAACTTGAAATTGTAGTGTACTATTGTTAAAAAAATATATAATCATGAGCTTTATAATATATGTTGAAATCAATACTGATTACTAATAAAAACTTCTATAAATATTATTTTTATGAACAAAAATTAGGACAAAATTTTCATTTTCTTTTCCTTGACATTAAATTATCATACATATATTTTTGTTCTTTAGTAGTTCAAAATTAAGCTATCTGATGTGTAACAAAGCTATTTGGTGTGTAACACATTAAAGTCAAGAACATGTTAGCTAACAACAATCCTGGTAGATGTATTAAAGATTTTTTATAGAATAAATCCTAAACTGGATTGGTTTTGTATTATAGGTCAGTGTCAACCAAGCCAATTACCTCAAATGGTATGCATCCATCCAAAATAAGAAAACTGCATTTTGCATGGAGTTGCTGCTAAACTAATATTCACTTTAATGCTAGATAATAATAAGTAGAAACATGGTTTCTGTTTTTGAAGTGATACAGAATTGCTTATGGATACTTGTGCCTTGATGGAAATTTACCTTTAATATTTTGAAACACGAGAAGGGTGCTTAGAAGAAACTAGACAGTAATCCAACAATATATCATGATATATGAAATTGGAATGGCACCTACTTTAATTGATCTGGCTTTGACTAAATATTCCTGAAGCAATGGATACTGCATTATCAGCTCATACAATTGCTGCAGGAATACTCTTAATATCAGTTTTAAACCAAAATTATGGTTTTGTTGTTATTTAATTGCATTATAATGAAGACATTGGTATAAAACATTGCTTTTTTCATTTCATATTTTAGTTTTGCATAATTTTTAATTATACGCCCACATTGAAATGTGGTCGTATATTGTCGTGAATGCTCTAAAGGCTAAAGTATCCAATTGACTTATTTATACACAGTGTTTAAGGTCATGAGACGGAGAACCCTATTGATTTTCAACAATTTCTGATAATTACTGCCAGAGTTATGGCCCTCGATCACTTTGAAAAATCTTGTGGATGCATTATAGACCATAGTTATCATCTAATTGATTTTATATTTATATACTGTGTTTACGCCTATATATAATCGTTTTGATTGACTTTAGAGTTTAAGGTCTTGAGAGGAACAAGTATATTGATTTTCAATAACATGAATAGCTAAATCCATGATATTAGATGTTTTGTATACTAAACTTTAGCATGGGCCAAACAAATTCTAATGATTTTCTGATAATTACTTAATGAGTTGTTACTCTTAATCAGATTTTAGTGTATTATAAATGTTTTATTACCGAAGAAGTAAAAATATGTGACAACTCTTGTTGACTGCCCGGACGATTTAGCTGATGTGGGCGTATGTTTCGTTGCCTGGCAACCTGTCTTTAAAAATAGAATTATATACACTGAAATGAGGAATTCTATCAAGTTTGCTTTTTTTGTGCCAGGAGCTATTATTTATTGTGTATTTGTTGTGGATGGTTTTTAAAAAAAAAGGCCATTCCTTTATTATAATAACTAGTTTTAGTTGTTTAATATTTTTTTAAATGCCAAAAATATATGATGTATTAATAATAACAATACATTTTATTATGTATGTACAATAACATGTAAATACTGTAAAGTTAATAAATTTTTTCCAACTCGGTTTTTTTTTTATGTTTGCTTGTTAGGAGGTATCTTTTTTTAAATGTGGGCGTATAAAAATGGTACCAACACGTCCCCATTGTTATGAGAACTTAAACAAGATGCTGAACTTGCAAACCCCTTGTGCCTGGATAAACTTGAGCAACAATAGAAATTGCAGGTTTTGCAGTGTTTTAATTACCTCTTAAATGGTAATGTTTACCCTGTGAGTGCACTAAAAGAATATAGGGGAACCTTATAAATTGTTTTGCAAAACAGCTCAAGTGGACCAAGGTTACTTGCTGTATGAAGGCTTGCGGCTAGCACCCCTATCCATTCAATTGTAGTTAGCAAGTGATTCTTCATCCCTCAAATGACGTTCAGAGACTTGAAGGTAATTTTTTTGTAATTGAAATGCATACCCATATTTGCATGATGATCAATTATTGAAATTTGTTTTCCTTGTTTGGATTCTACATTTACCCCTTCTTGGACATTGTCAAGTCTATAAAATCACATTTATTTTTATAAGTACAACATACATATTATTAAATATAAAACATGTCATTTACAACCACGTTTTCCAGCTATTGAACTTATGTCAATTTCCTCAGTAGCTTCAATATTTTAGTCAACAGATAATAGTTTAAATACAGTCCTGATTCTCAAAGGAATAGACCATTAAATTTTCTATTTACTGATATTTAAATATCACACTTTATCCTCAATAGTAGCTAATAATACAACATTTTCTGGTGTAAGATTGCCATCTATATAATGTTTTAAACAAGCTGTCATTTTATGATCGTGTAAATACTGGATTCGACCATGGTCTATCAGTCGTTTGCATTTGCGACCAATCATTTCTCTTTCACTTTTATCCAATTTGATATTTCCTCTGAAAGGAAAACATTCATTTTAATTATAAGAAAAGTTATTTACTTTCTTGCCATCATACACTTCAATAATTCATTTTATAAGAACCTATTTTTAGTCAAATTTGATCTTCGAAACAAACTCTCATTGAAAACATAGGTACCTATAATCTTCAACTTTATCATCTTCATGATCGGCTTCTTGATTTTCTATTTTACTTGCTTTTCCTCGTTCTAAAAATAGAATAGTAATTATTTTAGAGGAGCCATGGTGGCTAAGTGAGTAAGGTGCTGACTCTAACCAGTTCCCTAGAATTTCCCTATGTGGTCTTTCTTTGTCTGTGGTGCTGGATGGAAGGCCTGGCAAGGAAAATGTCTAGTAAAGTGAATGATATGAAAAACCTGAGATCCTGTGTACACATTGGCATGCACATAAAAGAACCCTTGACAGAACTCAATTGCTGTCTGGGCAAAATTACCCTGGTATGCACGCCAGTCTTGATTAGCCTAGTAGGTGCAGAAAAGTAGGATTTAAATCCCATTTCTAAGGTGTCCCATGATCGCAATGTTTTTCATTTAATGTATTACGGTTATATTAACAAGCCAACAGTGAGGCTGATGTCCCTCGCCGAAATCCCAAAATAAATAGATGACACATTAATTAATCGCACATTTATTTTTTTCCAAAGTATCGAGCAATCAAACTAAACACTAAGTTTCATCACTCTCTATCAGATAGAATCAAGATTATCTTGTCACAAAGCATCGACCAATGAAATTGATTAGCTCTGCTTAGCTTTAGCTTGAAATGTTAATCATTGAAATCAGTCAAGACATTCACCTAATGAACATCTACATCAGGGTTAAACATTCTACCTCAATTAAAAGCAGAGTTTTTATGTTCAAAAGTCTTGACCAATCAAATTGCTTACCACTCCTTAGCCCAGGCTGAAAATTCGCACAATCAAACTTAGTCAAGGTAATGATATAATGAATCTATATTCAGAGTTTCATCGCTCTCACTTCATTATAACCAAAGTTATCGTGCCCCAAAGCATCAATCAATCAGATTGCTTATCTCTGCCTACCGTAAGCACACAATGTTCATCATCGAACTCTATCAACGGATTCACCTAATGAATGCCTACACCAAGTTTAAACATTCTACCTCAATTGTAAGGAGAGTTATTGTGTTCCAAAGTCTCGACCAATCAAATTGCTCATCGCTCTGCTTACCCTCAGCAGAAAATGTTCATTATCGATGATATTGATGTAATAAAGCTATATATACACCAAGCGTCCTCACTCCCACTTAATTAGAACTAAAGTTATCGTGTCCCAAAGCATCAACCAATCAAATTGCTTATCTCTGCTTACCCTAAGCAGAAAATGTTCATCTTCAAACTCCATCAAAGCATTGACCCAATAAACACCTACACCAAGTTTGAACATTCTAGCTCAATTAGAATGAGAGTTATTGTGTTCCAAATTTTCGACCAATCAAATTGCTTATCGCTGTGCTTACCCTAAGCAGAAAATGCTCATTGTCAAACTTACTTAAGGTATTGATGTAATGGAACTATACACCAAGTTTCATCACTCCCACTTAATTAGAACTAAAGTTATCGTGTCCCAAAGCATTAACCAATCAAATAGCTTATCTCTGCTTACCCTAAGCAGAAAATGCTCATCTTCAAACTCCATCAAGGCATTGACCCAATAAACACCTACACCAAGTTTGAACATTCTAGCTCAATTAGAATGAGAGTTATTGTGTTCCAAATTTTCGACCAATCAAATTGCTTATCGCTGTGCTTACCCTAAGCAGAAAATGCTCATTGTCAAACTTACTTAAGGTATTGATGTAATGAAACTATACACCAAGTTTCATCACTCTCACTTAATTAGAACTAAAGTTATCGCGTCCCAAAGCATCAACCAATCAAATTTCTTATCTCTGTTACCATAAGAGTTATTGTGTCCCAAAAAGTGTGACAGACAGACAGACAGACGGACGGACAGACGGACGAACCCATTTTAATAATCTATTTTTCTATAAAATTTAAAATACAAAAAAAAATCAAAAAAAATCAATAATTAAAAATTAATAAAATATTTAAGATTAAAAAATCTATAAAAAAAACAAAAACATTTTAAATAAAAAGAATAAGTGAAATAGAAAAAAGGGAAAAACGAATTATCCACGTGGCCCATCATCGTAATAGTGTCTTGATTATCCAGACTCAGTATAAAGCCAGTCTACGACAGCTATCATTAGACTCGAGTGACCAGAAATACTTTGTGGCCCATTGTTGCTAGAATATAATTATTGTAGTCTATTAATTATACATTTCTATGGACTTGCATATTATGTATACATGTATATGAAAGTCCATAAAAATGTATAATTAATAGACTATAGAAGCCTAGCATCATTTTGACTAGATTATCCAGTTTGAAGTCAGTAGCTTGACACAATTCGGCCTACTAGTACATAAGGTCTGCTCTCACCACAAAAGATTAATGTTTTTAAACCACTTGTTCTCCCTGAGGTCATCACTATTCCCACTTAACATCTCCTAAAGCCAGAGGAGGTGCCAAATTGCAGTATTTTGTTTTACAGAAACTATTGAGAATTATCACAGACACATGAAATTTATGGGTGTTATTCGGCATTTATAAAACATAATTAATACTTTTAAAAGATGAATAAACGGAGCATAGCGATATATTCATCTTTCAAAAATATTAATCATGTTTTATAAATTTCTGAAACACAACCACAAATTTTAAGTGGCAATTCCATAGTAATTTAAATAAAGTCTATTAGAATTCCATTTTAAAGGCTCAATACCACTCTTGTTGTAACAGAATAATATGTCCTAATCTTTATTCTGGTCAACAAATTGTACTATTTTACAATATTCCAATTAATTGATGATACAAATTTCATCTTAACACACCTTATTTAAAATTTTTGAAAAATTCAACATAATGGTTTGAAACGTCTAACGTAAACCTTTTCAAATGAAACTTCAATTTAAAAATATTTTCGAACCCTCTGGACAAGTAAAATAGGATGTAATGGATAATTTACACAACAGGTAGGACACTTAAACATCTAGTACTTAGATAGAGATATTATTTATTTTCTGGAGCTTTCAAGCCAGTAAGAGTGTTATTGTCCCTTTAAGTTACAAATGATCTTTGTGAAAAGCATACAATTTAAACATACATTATGCAAGAGCTAAATCTGTCTATTGCAGGTCTTTCTTTAGGCCTGATATGTTATCTTAATTATTAATTAGACATTAATTAACCTATCCAGACCATAATCAACTCTAGATGGCATTGCTAGTCTGCGATCTTAAGTGGTTTATGAGCCGATTTACTGCATAACTTTCCTTCACGAATTAATGATTAAATGGATAATCGAGACTATGCTGTTTATTGTAGTGACTTTAGAAATTTCAATCGCTTAGTTCTCGGTTCATAGTGGATCAATTTGAATGAAATTTTCAGCAAATTGCCTTTACATTATCTAGTTTTGAACTATAATGAGAACTGTCAACTCGTTATCGAATCTCCCATAATGTATCTTTAAAATAAGTTTGATTTTAGTTAAAATCTATTTTAGCCTTAGTTTATGTCTGAGGTCATCGCTAGTTCCCTTAACATCCACGTACAACTATGGGAACTGCAGGGGAGCAGAAGTGCAATAGAGTAAGTATTTCAATTTCAAAGACAAACCACATAATCGAGGCACTACTGCAACAATGGGCCACAAAGTATTTCTGGTCGCCCTAGTCTAAAGAGCGCTGTCACTTTATACCGGATCTGGATATTCAAGACACTATTGGGACAACTGGCCACGTCAGGAATTTTTTTTTATCTTTTCTTTTTTTTTCATTTAAAATTTCATTATTTTTTTCAGATTCAGATTTTCTTTTTCTACCAATATTTTTTATTACTTTAAATGAAAAAATAACCACAAAACGCTATTGGGACCATGGGCCATCATACATTTCATTCATTCATTCCTTTGAGGTTGTTGATTTGTTTTAAATTTCATGCATTAATTTTTAACACTTGATGTGGAACAATCTCAATAAATTTGGTCAATACTGCGTTCAAAAGATTTCATGAGTTTGAATGCAAAGCAGAAGTTATGGTTCATCCTTTCGAAAATTATATGCCAAGAACTTTGACCTGTAGAGTATTCAAAAGAACATATGTAGATGACAACAATATATACTATTCAAAAAAAGTAGGGGATATTTGATTTTTAAGTGTTATTAAAGTCACCTAATGAAACTGACGAAGAAACAAATGACAAAATGAAATGAAGTTCACATTCATCGATTTATTCCAAATGATCGTTAGACTAAGTAAGGCACAGACTGACCATTATAAGGGTAAAATGATACCCGGGGTCAAACAGCAAAGTTACCACAGCATCACAACCAAGTCAGTAACGGGTAAATCCTCCTCTGTTTGCCAAACAAGCATTGATCCGACGTGGCATACTCCTAATGAGACGTCTAAGGTCATTTTGGTCCAGATTGTCCCATTCCTGTTGCAACGCAGCAGCAAGTTCTTGGACATTGGCAGGACGTTGTTGACGTTGACGTAACCTCTGTCCAAGCATGTCCCAGACATGCTCGATGGGGGAGAGGTCGGGACTCAGTGCTGGCCAAGGTAATGTGGTGATGTTCTGTTGTTGGAGGTAACCTGTAACGATCCTGGCCCTGTGACATCTTGCGTTGTCATCCTGGAAGATGAAACGGCGGCCATGACGTCGTGCGAACGGCACAACATGGACTGCCAAGATGTTGTCCCGGTAGTACTGGCCTGTAACACGCCCTGCAACAACATGTAAAGCCGTTCTTCCAGCAACAGTGATGCCTCCCCACACCATAACAGAACCACCCCCAAATCGATCATGTCTGATGACCTTAACGTCTTGGAAGCGCTCGTTTCGACGACGCCACACCCTCCTACGTCTGTCCAAAAAATCAACAGTGAACCTTGACTCATCTGAAAACATCACATTGCTCCAGCGTCGATTATCCCAGTGTTGACGATCCCTACACCAACGACGTCTTGCCTGAATGTGATGATCTCTCAAACAAGGGATCACGCGAGGACGTCGGGCGCGAAGGTGACCCCTATGCAGTCGATTCCGAATCGTCTGGCCACTCACTCTCACACCAGTGTCTGTTTGAAGACGAGCGCTGATCTGATTTGCTGTGATGACACGATTTCTCAAGGCCAAGGTACGGATAAATCGATCCTGGGCTTGAGTTGTCGCCCTTGGTCGACCTGAGCGTGGTCTGTCCTGTACAGATTGTGTATCACGGTATCTGGACCATAGCCTGCTTATGACAGACTGAGAAACATTCATCGTCCGCGCCACAACCGCCTGTGTTGTGCCGATCTGTAGCATGCCAAGGGCACGTAACCTTTCATTTTGGGTAAGCCGACGCATATCAAAATTTGTTTTCTGGTCACTAAAACAATTAAACTGATGTTTCCACCCTGGAATTCAATGCCACAATGACTGTAAGATTCAAAGTCAGAGTCGTGCAAATCTTGGGTTGGACCCCCATGATGATCCCAAGCATCAACTGCATTCCATGCGGTAGCTATTGGTGCGTTTGGGCGTCACATGTAACTGGAAATGTTTCTTCTGTTAGGTTCTATAGTGACTTTTTTCGTAGTCATTTGCATATTTTAGTATTATGCCCCCAAAATCAAATATCCCCTACTTTTTTTGAATAGTATACATATATACATTAAATGTAAGCATATCTAAAGAAACCATAGAAACACTTACCTTCTGCTTTCCAACCTTGCCAACTACATGTAGCCCAACTACTGATACTTAATAAGAGCTGAAAATCATGTGATGATATACCATTTGACCTCATAAACTTTTTACCAACATAGGTTTTCCATGTACACCGATGATGACAACATAATGCTATAACTATTCCCTTGGGACATCTGTAAGTAATTATAAGATAGGCTAATGTCATCTTTTACAATCTATAAAAATAAAATCAAAGATGTCTGTGTGTGTGTGTTCGCCCATTACGCTTCATCACCACACTCCAACCCCACATATGTGGTATCAAATTAACCAGCATGACCCTGTGAATGTTTAAGGCCATCAAATTTGGCCCCTGGGCAAATTTGGGTCCTGTGCAAATTTGGGCCCCGGGAGAACCGGGGTATCCTGCTAGTTTAAAACAAGCTAACAGTGAGGCTGATGTCCCCCGCCGAAATCCCAAAATAAATAGATGACACATATTAATTATTCGCACATTTATTTTTTTTCAAAAGTATCGAGCAATCAAACTGATTATCAACTATAAACTAAGTTTCATCACTCTCTATCAGATAGAATCAAAGTTATCTTGTTCCAGCATCGACCAATGAAATTGCTTAGCTCTGCTTAGCTTTAGCGTGAAATGTTAATCATTGAACTCAATCAAGACATTCACCTAATGAAAATCTACATCAAGTTTAAACATTCTACCTCAATTAAAAGCAGAGTTGTTATGTTTTAAAGTCTTGACCAATCAAATTGCTAATCGCTCCTTAGCCTAAGCAGAAAATTCCCACCATCGAACTTAGACAAGGTAATGATATAATGAATCTATATTCAGAGTTTCATCGCTCTCACTTCATTATAAATGCCCCAAAGCATCAACCAATCAAATTATTTATCTCTGCTTACCCTAAGCAGAAAATGCCCATCTTCAAACTTCATCACATGTTCCTGAAGAAACGACCATGAGTTTTGCAACATCTAGCCTTCTATTGAAGATGACTCCATCAAGGCATTGACCTAATAAACACCTACCCAAGTTTGAACATTCTAGCTCAGTTAGAAAGAGAGTTATTGTGTCCCAAAAAATGTGACGAACGGACGGACTGACGGACAGACAGACGAACCTATTTTAATATTCCCCTGCTTTCTTCGATAGATGGGGGACAATAACTACTGACATTATGCAATCTGGAAATCAAATTGAAGAGATGAACTATGTCTTTGGTAACCCAATTAATATGCACAATAGTATGTCATTCACAGGCTTTTATACCTGATCGGTTATTTAGTGAAGAATTCCAAAAATATTCAAATGTTCTCCCCCCCCCCCCGACCAAATATTGGAATCAAGAAAATTCAGTCATATATTTCATGTCTAGATGTGTTTTACCTTTACAAAAGATTGGCTGACAGTAACAGACAACTATAGCTTAAACAAACCCTTCAGGTTATTTTTTCAAATTTGAAATAGACGTTTGATTTGACTTGACCCCATCGGCTGATTAAACCACTCATGCCAATGAAACAAGTCAACAGTTTTGCATCATATCATAGAGAAGTATTTATAGTAACCCATTCCACAAGTATTCCCCAAATCAAGCTGAACAATCCAAGCAAACCAAACATTGTCAAATTGAAGATTTATGTAGTACACATTGTTGCAATTAGTGGTTGTTACTTTTATTTTAAAGTGTTGACAAGAGTTCCTACAAACCTAGTATGGGATCTTCTATCATTCTCTGTATCGTCTGCTTTTAATCTTTTACAGGGTAACTCTGTATCAGTATCGACTGGTCTTATTAAACATCTTAAAGCCAAATCTGCAAAGACAATTTGAACAGTCAAGAGCCAACAAGTTTGGAATATTACAAGCATAACAACTCTTTTAAAGGAATCTCCTCTTGCTTTATCAGTTATGGTAAATGCGCACCTGCAATGTAATTTTGCACTTAGTTTTCACACTTTGAAATGCGGGTCCATATTGCTGTCATTATGCAAAATGAATATATTGAAAATTTCATTCAAATTACTTTATTCTGATCGAAGTTATCACTGGTTTGAAGATTTGACAAGATGTGGCATAGATTGTTTGTTATCGTACAGTACTTGCTATTTGTCTCCTCACTTCGCCATTTTAAAATCAAATCATTAAATGGCGATCATGTTTTAATCCATTTAAATCTCAGCCATCTGATGGTCTAGAGAGTTGATGAATGGCTTGTCATGTAAATAAATGTCTAAATAATAAATAATAGTTCATATACATAACTTTTAATGACAAAATAAATACCCGCAATAGGCAAAATTAGCTCTTACATAATGCATCTTTAAAATATACACGCATTCATTCCACAGTCCAGATTAGTAAAAATGAAAAATCATATTGATTTACATCTATTTCTGTTTATTACTTCTAGAGTTCTCGCATTTGCTCATTTTGCAGAATCTCATGAACACGGCAAGAACTTTGTCCTGTGTCGACATTCATAAGATTTAAAAGTAAAAAATATGACCGGACATAAAAATCTACAATTCGAAAATATTAAAATTCACCGAGTTCTTTGAACATCTTTCTTATACCCTAATGAACAATCCCACAGAGTTCTAAAATTTATATCAAGAAGTTTCTCCTGTACCATGTTCAAAAGCTTTCATAACTTTGAATTTATGGGGAAGAACTCTGAAATTTTGTTTTTTAATAAATATATGAAAACATACCAGTTGCAGCTCCACATAGATGTTTACCAATTGCTGTTACTATTTTATCGCTATTACTTATACTCTTTACTTTACCTGTAACATTAGTAATAAATTGTCAGTATCATTCTGTCTTCTCTCCCCCCTCTGTCACTCTATCTTTCTTCCTCTCTATCCATCTCTCTCTCTCTCTCTCTCAATATGTATAAGGAACTTGAAGCAATAGCCTTTCAATCAATGGCGGTCAGATTTAAAATATGTCTCTATGGCTTTAAAGTAAACAAGAGAGTACCATTTTCTTAAGCCATGTTAGAATATTGAGAAGAGCCTAGGTCATGTATAAAGTTGTTTAAAATGTGTTTTAGAATTGGATCCCATGGATATGGTCTCTTGTTTGTTTACTTTTTCACATCTTGAGATGGCGATGACTCGGAAATCTGAATAATTTTAAGAGCTCAAATTTTCAGTTTGTTAATTCAACTGAATACAAAAGATTATGGCCAAACTTTAATTAAGTTCAAAACTTCTGTTTTCCCTATTTCTAACCAGACAAGTGTTAAAGCGATAATTGCATTTTATTAAGTGATATGTTTAAAATATGTTAAAATAAAGCCTTAAAATACATGGCATCTATACACACAGTCCTGCCTTGTTAAAGAATAATCCTAAATCCTATAATTCACTTGTGTCAGTTGAGAAATTGGCAAATATAGCATTTTCTTTTTAAATCCAACGATGCTTTTTACAGTGTTATTATCATGTGTGCAGGTTTGAAAAGTCTCGCTCAACCAGGCATCATTATCCTTATCTATTTCACCACATTGCTTTTTACGGTGTTATTATCATGTTTGCGGGTTTGAAAAGTCTCTCTCAACCAGGCATCATTATCCTTATCTGTTTAACCACAGACCTTGACAATCGAGACAACTCCCTCTTCCATTGTGTAGACTTAGTTTTCCAATGAAAAGAAATGACTCCTATGATTGTATAGTAGTGATTTGACAACCATTTAAGTAATAGATATAGAAATAGTTATGTTTTGACTTTCTTTGAAAATATCCAATTATTGCTTTAAAATAATCAATTACGATATCACCACAGCAATTTGCCTATTTAACAAGGGCCTTTGTCAGACATCTGGCATCACTGACATAGGAATATATACTCTTCAAAAATAAGTAGGAGATATTGAAATGCAAATACCTATGCAGGTTGTGATATGAAAAATAGTCATGGACACTTGACATGCTTTGAGAGTATGTTCACAGATGAAGAATTTATCGCCCCAACAGAACCACTGAGCTGCACATGTGACACACAATAGCGCCATACACGTGGAAGGTTTTTTTTTGTCAAATTTGACACTTCAAGGAAGGGTTGATGAAAACTGCTGCGTGCTGGTTTATCCTATCCATGTTTGCTTTCCTATTGTTTCTTGCATAAAATTTACTGTTTAGCGTATCTTTGCTTTAGTGTGTTATGTTTAATTTGATCGGGAGACGTGTTCGTCGACGTCAACCGACAACACTGCAAGAATTAGCTGTGGCACTGCAAGAGGAGTGGGTCAGATTGCCCCAAATCGTAATTGGACGGTTGATTAGGAGCATGCCACTACAAATTGCTGAATTTCTGAGGATTGGTGGAGCAATTATTTTCACTTTTGACAGTGTATCTCTTTGCAAGTGAAATGGGGGCTTCAGATAAGCCGCCCATATGAATTGTTTATGTTCATGTGTAGGCACTTGGCCTGTTATTAACATACACTGGTTACCTCTAATAAAAACAGCAGTGCATTTTGTATTGTTTCTGAATATCCCCTACTTTTTTTGAAGAGTATATTTCAAGAACCAACGACGACATGGTCTTTAAGAAAATTGTTACAAGCTCTACTGTTTAATTGGTTCCATGTGTGAGGTGTTAGTCTGGGCACAGTGTAGAATGACAGGGAACTCAAGTTCTAACATATCGTCAACACATACTTCAGTTACTCCGGGACTACATGTAATATATAGTTAATTTTTTTTGCTATGGTAATGTGTAATGTTAAGGAGAAGAATTTTGCCTATAGAATGGTGTTTCATCTGCTCTTCAAGGAATTTCAACTGCCATGGTGTTTTACATTCCGAACTGACGGGGCATAGTATAGAAAATAGCTGAAATGAAATGGGGTTTAAAGTCTTACTGTTCATCTCCGACTCAGCTAATGAAGATGGGCATACACCATACAGTGTGCTATGAGGGAATTCTGCCCGGACAGTGGCCCTACAGCCTACTCTTATTTCAAACCCCGACTGTCGAGGGATCTTTAATGTGCAGACCATTATGTACACAGGACCTTGGTTTTTGTCCTATCCGAACAACTATATGTTGTCCCTTGTCAGGCTCTGCATCCTGCACCACTGACAAGGGGGAACCACGCTGGAAAAATCCTGATGAAGTTTCTCGGCTAATGCAGGTCACTAGAAAATAGCTCATTAGCAAAGGAGTTATTAAGGCAGCCATAATAGGCTTGCTTTGTATTGCGGACACACACTATCCTCCTGTTTTAAATTAAACTTGTCCAAATTCAACTTACCTAAATCTAAATGTTCTATATCAATTTTTATTCTTTCAAACTTTGGACCTTCTTCCTCTGATTTATGATAACTATCAAACTGTTGATGGAAAAAAAAGACATTTTTTTCCAAAAGTCATATTACACCAAGCCAAGATCTCAGTGTAGCATATGTTTTATTATATGGCAGGTTTGGTAGGTGGGACTCAGTGCAGAGGTGTTTCTGGCTAGTCTAGATCATACATCATCATTTTCGTTTTAACTTCAATGTCTTAAATCCAGATTACTTTTCTATCAACTTGTAACATATCTATATGTGACTGCTGGGTTTGCCTTACCTTATATCGTGCACTGCCTCGATCAACTAATAAAAACGATAAATTCTCTTTGTCTGTCATAGCTTTCTGTACCCAATGTGAAAGTTGTCCTAAAAATGTTTAAATATTTCATCAATTATTACCAAAGTATTAGCAAGTCACTTACAACCTTTTGAACAAAAAAGAATACAGAATTTTGGATTTATATAATAAAACAATTAATCATTCAAATAAGCATTTGGGATCTGATCGAAGACAAGAACCATAATATTTTATGTGAAATTATTGGCTTTTAACATACACTATAAATACTGAAAAGTAGATAATTCAAATATAAAAATCACTGAAACATTATATAGGCAAAATCATTAACAATAGTCAGTAGAATTGTTACAAGGGGATATCAAAATAATCAATACCAATAACTGCAAAACAGAATCAAGTGCTCTCGTTGGGAAAGCATAGTTTTCCACCTGACACTTTTCAACAACTCCTTAATCACAGATTCTGAATTACCAGAAAATAAATATCAATGAAAAGATCTGTACCAACTCCCCAAATGGACGTATACATAGATGACGTCCATAAAATTTAATCAAGAAACAACAGACTTTTTGGGCAGTCAGCATTAAAAAGTTAATGTTTAAATTTTTACACAAGAGTTAATGCCATTTGTTTGTGTAAACTACACAAATATATAAGGCTTTATAAAACTGAAATTTGTCATGCCATTCAGTACAAGGGTCAGTAAGACTGTGTGAATCTTATCATATTAAATAATACAAAACAAGTTAAATTCTTCACAGACAATCTCAAACGAAGATAGTTATAACCTGTACTACATGACTCTTCCCTTTTATGGACCACTGAAATAAAGAGAGGGTGTATTTTAATTTAATGAAAACATGCCTTTTCCTGCACCCATTTCAATAAAACTTGTGTTATCCTTTAATAAACCCAACTTTTCCATATGACCAACCAAAGATGCCTGAAAAATATTAAAATGACTAAGTTTCTTTGATTTGTGTCAAAAACAAAATTTGCGGATTTCACTGAATATTTTTGGTTTATTTGTATTTGAAAATTGCATGTCTTGAAGATATTGACCTATGAAGATATAATATATTTTGTGTTCCATTGTGCTAACATTTAACGAAAATTAATAAACAAGCCTATTTATGCTTGTTATATATCACTAAGTAAAATAACACATTGGGTCTACCCAATTCTGTTAACATATTTATCGTAGGATCAATATTACACAAATTATTTGACTTTGTAAATGTTTTCACATATCTGTAGAAATCCTCAGTGTGAATAAGCTATGTTGGCATATAGTTACATCAGTTGAGAGTGGGTTTACTGTGCTGGACAATACAGGTTGAGTCTGCACAGCTTCAGTAGGAATGCAAATATTTTTGTCACCCTGAAAGGGTGTGCCAATCAAATAAATGGAAGGTAAATTAAACCACAGTGTAGCGTTACGCTACATGCATGCAAATTATCAGCGACTACAGCCAATAGTGCCCATAAATTTGGTTATCGCACCCAATATATGATCAATACTGTCCATTTGCTTATCTTATTTCTTAATTTGGAAACAGACTGGCCAATGCAAATACCTCAAATTTAAAGCGACACAGCTTAATGTCTGCATTATAATTCAAAGTGGAGAGGACATCAGTAAGTTTTCATAACTTTTTCCCAATCCTTTTGTACTGTATTTATGTTCTGGTACAATAAAATATGTTTAAAACAAAAATTCAAACATGGCAATGAAAACACAGACTAGGGCTTTGGCAGTAACTTTTCTGTATTTTTTCATTTGTGTGTGTTAGTATATTTGCTTTAGCTTATATAACCAATGAAATATCAAACCTGTTGTTTTCTATGTCTCATTGCTGAAGTGCCATATGTTTCATTATCTAGTTCTTCTTGTAAACATGCATGAGTTAATATTTCTTCTTCTATACAGCCAATATAATCTAAAAAAATAAATAAAATAAAATACAGATTTCTACTACATAAACATGCAACAAATCAAGCACATATAACTTTCTAATTGAGTTCTTTTATTATAATTACATGCATATTGACAAATTACTAGAAACACTGAAGAAGAATTGACAGGACCATATTTCCTCCAATACATACAATTATTTGTAAATATTTCTATATAATGATTCCCAAACAAATTTTTGTAAAATTTTAATCTCCAATTTAATGCCCTAATAATTTTTACAAATTTCCATTTAAAAATATTGTTCTGTGTTTCATTCGCAAGATCTAAATGTGACTTGAGAAATAACTCTGCAAATTGGAGATATGATCAAAACAATTTGAATTTAATAGATCGGTCTACATATTAGTCAAGCTATTGGACGCATCTATAGAGAACAAAACAAAACAGAAGTTCAATAGAAATATGCCATATAGAAGTTCACATATATGTGACCTCTCTCCCAAACCATTTAGCTCAATGGAGAGTTGAGGTCATCGAGAGCATAAACAAACAACTTATAGATCCATATTTGAATCAGATTGTACCTTTAAGATGTAGTTAGTTCAACATGATATTGTTAGCAATGTGAACTCCTCAAGTGGTATCTAGTGTTCAAGAAAGAGTACACATACCCTGCACAAGACCTGCAGTAATGGTTTGGACCTGGATTTTAAAAGCTGAAGCTACTGGGCTGGATATAACCTCAGGGTCACTGATTCATTGTGTGAATGCACACTTCTGTGGTATTTTAAAGAAGTAATAGTTTACCATCATATAGCTTGTTAATTCTATTAATCACATTTTGAAGTTCATCACCGGATATACTGTTCACCGATACCTGAATATTAATAAGAAGACACATATTGTTGATTACATAAAGATAATCACATCAATACCCATGCCCTTGTTTACAGATTTATAAAGAAGAGATCGTTAGCTATTTTTACATGAATTCTGATGCACATGCACATGTCAAAATACGTTTTTGCCATGATAAAATATAATCAATGTCCTAAATATTTTTAATGCACATAAGTTTCAAACGTAAAACTACAGGTACGGAAAAAAGTAGTACCCAGAGAATTTATTAGGTTCATGTTCAATGCAGACATTATATAAATTTACACCTACCTTATCTTCTTCAATGTCACTTCCAGAATTTATACCCTCTACATAATACACCTGTAATTATAATAATATTGCCAATTATACAGCATCAACAAAATGCTTGAAAATTTGTTATTTCTCAATCTAAAATAATAAAATACTTCTTGTATAATAACAGAAAGCCTACATTTAAATAACTTTAACATGAATTGATAAATAATGTAATTTAAGATAATCTTACCTCTTCTGCTTTTCTTCTGTTGTTACACTTTTTCAGGTGTTTTTGTAAACAATCTTCATAACAGGTACTAAATTATCAAAAAATAGAAAATCTAAGTAACCAGGTCTGGATGTATGAAAACTGACTGTAATGTTAAGCAATTGTCAAAACTTAAACTAAAACCTTTTGAAATGCACAAACAAGTAATTTTGGTTTTTACATAAGTCTTTTCCCCAAGAAATAAGGAAAAAGGAAAATTTTTACAGGTTTGTCCCAAGAATAAAAAATCAAATTTGTGTGGCCTAAAATTCAGTGATCCCCGTTAATAGGGAATTCCGTCCAACTTTTCAACTGTGTTGGGTACACAGGGTATGATTACTTACTGTGATGGATTCAATGGGCATGTGACTCTCTTTCTCTCTAGTTCTACCTTTAAAATATATTAAAATAAAATAAAAACATTCTTTTTTTTGATTATAGACAGTAAAGATACTTTCCCAGAAAAGTATTTATCAGATTTCCAATAAAAGTATTTATCAGATTTCCAATAAAAGTATGTCAAATTTTGTATATATGGAAAGTATGGACACCCAATCTTACTAGAAAAATATTGGATTACACGAAAAACGCCCATGGGTATGCACTGGGCGAAATTGTCAGGGTATCACTAAGTTATTTCTTCCTTAAACATCACTTGTGTGATTTTACTGTGGTCTGCCAATAGTCAAGTTACAAGTTCTAAATGCCATTCCAAACTTCTACTCACCACCTGTTATCCCGACTGAGAGATTGAGGTGTGACAAAACTTGATTCTGTGATGTTATTTGAACTAGTACATGAAGGTAATTCTAACAATTTGCAAACAAGAAAGTATCATATCATGCTAGAGGTGTGGTGATGATCAAGAGGTTCAGTTCCCCACACTAGCTACTAAAAAACATTCTGGTGCATTCCCTTTAAAATCAAAGTACATGTAAGTGAACTGGAAGGGTTTTGTACATAACAGCCCTAAACCAAAACGACCAAAAAATTTGATCATAAAGGCCAAAAAGGAAACATAAATCACATATTTATTTCATATTTAATATATAGGCTACCAAGAACATTTGATAAATTTGAATTTGTACATAAATGGTACTGTAGACATAGATCACATCAATTGAAGAGGTATATGTATAATTAACAAGAGTTCATATTAAATAATTACACGACAGAACCTTGTACCCAGGTGCAAATTCTTAAAAGCATTGAAACACTAATATTTGCCTCTCTAAATGCACTCCATGAATTAAATATTTCTTCTTGTCAGTCTCTACTATTTTCAAAAAAATAACAGTGAAGTTTATACTTAAACATTAAAGCCGAGTGAAATGGTCTAAATGGATTAATATTCAGCCTATGTAACCAGGACAGCTGTTTACTCATTCGGATGAGACGAAAAACCGAGGTCCCGTGTACACAGTGGCATGCACGTAAAAGATCCCTTGACAGTTGGATTTCGATATAAGAGTAAGCTGTAGTGCCGCTGTCCGAGCAAAATTTTCCTCATAGCACACTGTATGGCGGATGCCCGTCTTCATTAGCCCAGTTCGGAGCAAAACAGTAGGACGTTAAACCCCATTTCATTTCATTTCATTTCCTATGTAACCTAATCAGATTAGAGGGATGTGAAGTACTTTAAAATTAGGGATTATCCAGTAAGTTTATTAATTATTTCCTTGCAAATATCAGTCAATAGCATGTTGATTATTCCTGATAATTTTTATACAAATGACACCTTTATTTCTAGTTGGAATAGAAGTAGCCATATCTTGTTGAAAATAAGTGAGTAGTGATGAACGTATACTACTACTACTACATGTACCTGGTGTTTTAATGTGGGCTTCCACAGAAGGGATATCGCAGACAATGAATGTATATGTGTGTGAAATAGCTTTATTTAACGTCCGCTTCCACCGAAGTGATATCACAGACAATGGTCATTTATACATATTCTGGTGAAGCCAAAGTTACTTGTTAATCACCACTAATCCTATGTAGCCATCTTCAAGGAGATTATGAAAGAGCATTTTAATTGGATACGATGATTAGCTGAAACCATGCTCAAATGATCATGGTTATTTTTGTCAGTTGTTATTTTTAACAAAGATAAGTAGGCTAAGTTTCTTTTCAACAATAGTAAGTAATGTTTTATAAAATATATTGTTTTTCATTAAATTAATATTGTTTGGCTGTTATGACCAATGTTTTGGCCGTTATGGGCCAACCAAACTGTTTGGCCGTTATGACCAAAGTAGGGCTGTTTGACTAAATCACATCCCAACTGGAAAACATTAAAATATTTTTTAATAATCTGTCTCTCTTTTCCTACATGTAGTTTCGTGGATAGCTAATTAACCCCGTAGGTGCATAACAGTAGGATGTTAAATTCAATTTTATTTCTTTGATGCCTAACTATTTATGTTGTTTGACAGTCAGGGAAGGTCCCTTTTTGTCATTTTTGTAAACAACATTTAGATTTGTACAGATCCCAAGACAGGCGTGAAAATAAACTTCTATGATATTGATAAATGAATTTAGCAAGGGTTCTAAATGTCTCAATGATGGTAAAAAACCCCAAACATCAGATTTATCTCAAGGTTTGCAATGCCATTGCATTAGATTAGTACTAGTGACAGTATATATATACTGAGCACCATGGAAAACGCATCACTATTTTTTCCCAAATATTTTATTACTAGGTGGTTTTGTATGTATAATATTATGCAATACTATGAACTATTGTTTCACACAATGCTCCCAAACGCAAAAAATATCGGCCTGTGTGCAAAAAAAAAATTGCACGAGATGCACATGAAAACCCCAATATTCACGTGCAGCATTGTGTGTGAGCCCTTTAAAAGCATGTTTTCAACTTAATGTGCAGTACATGAACTGTGAAACGTCAATCTGTCGTAATTTGTTGTTGGACGTGTGAAGGAATCGAGCTAGAGATGCCGAGACTTACTGAAAATTAGGACTCCGTGCACGACGACGACCTTATGTTGGAGCTATCCTCAGGGATCATCACCGTCAGCGGCGTTTGATATGGGCTCAAGGACACCAGACATGGAGAAGAGTAGACTGGCAAAGTGTGCTCTTCAGTGATGAGAGTCACTTTCATCTTTATCACGCTGATAGCCGTCAATGTGTGTGGAGAGGTCTTGGGGAACGTCTTTCAGACTGCTGCGTCTTCAAAACGAATCGATGGGGTGGGGGAAGTGTAATGGTGTGGGGAGGCTTCACATTTCATCACCGTAACTAACTGCTAACAACATTAATGTCTTGGACTGGCCAGCCATATCTCCGGACATGGCACCGATAGAACATGTCTGGGATGAGATTGGACGCTGTCTGTATCGGAGACCACAGATGCACAGTGCACACCATTGCTGCTTTAGAAGCTGCTCTTGTCCAAGAATGGAACAATTTACCCCCAGCCTTCTTTCAAACATTGGTAAATTCCAAGCGACGTTGCTGCACAGCGTGCGTAAGAGCCCGTGGAGGACACACGCGCTACTGACATCTGTGTCGTACTTTTGGTTTTGACCCCTCTGACTTTGTACCGTTGCGTTGATTACAGATTAAACATCCATAGGTGTACAAATGTGTTGTTATTGATGTGTTCCCATTTGAATATTGTTCACAATAAGAAGCAAAATAAATAAGATATGTTTACTGGATCATTTTGTTATACGAAAAACTAAGTGATGCGTTTTCCATGGCGCTCAGTATATATTGTGCACACAGTAACACTAACAGACTAGACTTACTCCCATTTCTAGAGAATGTTCTGCGCAGTATATCTGGCTTTTGTTAGGTCTGAATCTACAGAATCTGTTCTTTTTCTTCAGGAAAAAAGAACATTGTCCTATTTCAGGTCTGGGACTCAATTTCTCCATTGGAAAGAACTCTGAATCTAACACGTGTTAGAAATAAATAAATAAGGATATCCCCGTTAATAGGGAATTCCGTCCGACCTTTCAACCGGAAGTAATATTTTCGTATAGCAGTAAAGTATATAATTATTTGTTAATGGCTTTTAATTGATTTTCAATTATGGCTATAAATATATATTAATCAAATTCCCATTTCGGATCTAGATATAAACACTGTTTTTCATACTAATCGAAACATAAATTTAAATACTTGCAAAGTCGCGTTGGATGCGAATTAATATTTTCTGCATGACGTTATTGTAAATGGCGACGATCCTGAAAAGGAGTGATTACTTGCACATTTTCGATTAAACTAATTCCTTTTATCATTTTTGGAGTGAAGCTCACCTCTATTTCTTAACTATCAGTATGCTTATTACGCTGAAAACCTTACAGCAGGAAACTTTTAAAGTTGAAATAGATGCTGACTTGCCGGTAAGTATTACGTGAACAAGACAGAGTCTACGAAAAAAGTATAGGAATGATTCGCACAGTCACAGCACTCTTAGAGAACAGGACGAGCTGCGCCACAACGTCAGGGCAGAACGGCTCCAGTGACCAGTGGGGACACGGATGCTGCCAGTTTGTGATAACAATATTTAGAGCATGTGCCAGACAGTAAACTAAAAGCTAACAATAAACAAACTAACGTTTACCAACCTGATTACATTATTTTAAAAATTAAAAGCTTCCAATTCCATTTCGGATTTCCAATTATATTATTCGTTTAGTTAGTCCAGTTACAGAGTTAGTTGATGCTTTACCATCTCAAACCCCTTGTCAAGCCATGATTAATTTAGTTATAAAATAATGGCATTCACAATAAGCAAAATACCACAGGTATATGAAAAAGTATACATTCTTTGTTCCTGTCATTTGGTCTACACAATTTTCGAAGTCAACTCTTCCTTCTATCTTAACAGGTGCACAATTTCAATTTTGAACCACTACTGTACTAGCCCATGGACAACTGTCATGATAAAATTTTGCTGGCCCATAATTTCTTTTTTTTCCAACAGATAATAAAAATAACAAAATCCAGATATTCCAATAGAGGAGCTTTTACATTACATGACATATTTTCGGTGTCAATGTTTAGCCTGGCCTTTTTCTTCAGGTATCTTAATATGGTAAATGCTCTGGAAAATGTTTTTTTTAGACTTTTACTTTTAATAGAAATTAATCTTGTAAGATGCACGTAGCATTCGTAATAAATTACCAATTTTAAATCGTGTCTAAAATTTTTATTTTTTTTCCGCTTTATTGACGATATACTGCGTTGTAGTAGTCAATATATACCAAGCTCCACACGGTCCAGTTGAGACCGCTGTACGCAAAAACATAAAAAAAGATGCATTGCTGTATGAAGCCGATTTATATGTTTTGTGTTAATTTTACTGCAAACAATTAATAGATAACATCTGTCTGGTTGTAAAATGCCATGAAATAGAGCATTTACAAGTAAATGATAGAATGAGTTAAGCGTGGTGAAGTGCAGTTCCACGAAAGAATATTAAGATTTAAGCACGACCGTAGCACATCTAAAAAAAAGGAGAACAAATAATAATCATGCTGTAAAGAATAATCCTGTATTTAACGCAAAGATTCCATTTATATATTTGTATTCAACAGTTGTTCTCTGAACCAAATACTGCATTAGAAATTGATAAAATGGACACAAATGTATCATTCTTCATTCTTGGTTGCGACAGTGGAGATATAAACTGACTGGATTAAATTTTCACTGAGTGCTAAAAGCTGAGCCAAGACGATTTATGTGGTTAAAATTAACAGAAAAAAGGCAGTCGTTGTTTTTTGTATTTCAGAGGAGAGCCAAAAAAAGCTCTCCTCAATCTACAAATTGAAAAACACACTCCCCTAAAAAAGCTCTCCCAGTTTCGATAAGAAGAATGATTTAGAGATTAAGGAGAGTGATCTGTTATTAAGGAGAGTGATTAGTTGTAACGGGAAATGGTTCTGAAGATCAATAACTACATGTAATGGGGTCATTCCTGGTTTGATAAATGATAATAAACCCCCAATGCCTTTATAAACGAGAGCAGTTTTCAATTTTAAGGGGAGGGAAGAAAAATCCCCTCTGTCGACATTCAGGTGAGCGGCAGGCGCTCGAGAGCGATCACTCGCCTTAAAAATCAATGACTGAAAAAGGGTTTTAAAAATATTCACAGATTCAACTTGATCATCGTTTTATTATCCCGCGCCGAACGAAGTTAGGGAGGGATATTGAAATGGGGTCCGTCCGTCCGATTTCGTTTCCGGAGCATATCTCATAAACCGTTCAAGATATCTTTCTGAAACTTTGCACACATATCAACCTATTACAGTAGTTGTGCCTTTTGCTATTTAGGAATTTCTGAGAATTATATTTTTTTTGTGTTTCCATGGAAACAAAAATGACTTAGTTTTTGGTGTACAATTTTGTTTCCGGAGCATATCTCATAAACCGTTCAAGATATCTTTTTGAAACTTTTCACTCACATCAACCTATTACAGTAGTTGTGCCTTTTGCTATTTAGAAATTTCTGGGATTTATATTTTTTGTGTTTCCATGGAAACAAATTTGACTTAGTTTTTGGTGTATAATTTTGTTTCCGGAGCATATCTCATAAACCGTTCAAGATATCTTTCTGAAACTTTGTACACACATCAACCTATTACAGTAGTTGTGCCTTTTGCTATTTAGGAATTTCTGGGATTTATATTTTTTGTGTTTCCATGGAAACAAATTTGACTTAGTTTTTGGTGTACAATTTTGTTTCCGGAGTATATCTCATAAACCGTTCAAGATATCTTTCCAAAACTTTGCATACACATCAACCTATTACAGTAGTTGTGCCTTTTGCTATTTAGGAATTTCTGGGATTAATATCTTACTCCGTGCATCAAACAAATAGATAACATCTCTTTGGTCGTAAAATGTGTAATAAACTTGACCAAATTCTAGTTCAGTCCATGAGCACGGATCAGTCATCCACTTGTTTTCCCCAATTGCATACAGCCATTAATACGGGTCTGGTAAACTTGCCGTATCTTTTCTATACCAAAGTTTTTGTCAATACACGTATATAGAAATGGCAATCAGTCCCATTTTATGTAAAAGAAGCTTACTGTACGACAGTATTTTCACAAAAAAACACACAATGGCCTATGGGTTTCAGTCTACGAATAAGGCCACAGTCTGCACATAACTGAAAATGACGTCAAAAGGGAAACCCGTTAAAGCTCCTATACTGTTCGCTCCATGATGTGACAATGTCACAGGCACTTGAAACATGAATTATTGTCGTGTGTCTACAAACATCCATATCAACAATATATGTACTCATGTGTGGTATTGAAAGTTGATGCAGGGTACTGTACCAATATTCTTACATGTTTAGTTTTATTTCGGAGCAAACGATATTTCTCCATTTATCAGTCTTATTTTTTAGAACCTAGGACAAAGCAGACGAAAGAGAATCCCCCATGTTATTTTTGTATATGCATCTAATTTATTAAATAATGATTATCATTGGAAGACAGAATCCCATATGAATGAGAGTAAGATATTTTGATCAATGCAAATCGAGTTTATAAAGCAATGTTGTCATTCAACAATACTCGTTTATTTTCGCAAAGTTATTTTTTCTACCGAAAGCTCTGTCGCTGTTGCCTGCTTAGTTGTGACTGAAACTAAAGTTGGTCTTTTTGGCTATTATTATTGGACGTACTGGAACTAAAATGCTTTAAATAATCACAAAATATTGTTATATTTCAATTTAATGAATTTCTGTCAGAGAAAATCAACTTGGCAGAGGGAATGCGAACAATCACCTGTCCAACAAGATTATTAACCAGCGTCAAGTAATGAAAATTTTACACTTCTTGTTAATAATATATGTGACCTGTACTGGCAAAATGAGTTGGATACAGACAAAACTAGGGCTGTGTCGATACAGTTCATTTTCGATACAAAACGTATTCACGATACAGCAAACCGATACTCGATACGTATCGTGATATGATGACATCACGAATTATGCCCAAAATAATCTCAAACTACATTCTGTTTCAAGATGTATGAGATGGTTAAGCATCAGGGTTCTTAATCCAATTGAGGTCCTTTAGGATATGGGTTCATTTTTAAGCTCCATTCCCCTTAATATAACTATACTTCAACAAAAATAATTCTTGATAATTTGTTGTGGAGAATGTCATATTTTAATGTTAATGTATGTGATTACCACAAAAATAACGACAGGTACACCTTTTGAAAATTTTCCATATTTAATTCACGTACGGTGTACCATCTTGAAGTTCATGTCCGTAATATTCCAGAATAAATTAATTACTGTCTTCGTTTATTCGATGAAACGTTCCCGTTTCATAAGTCGATGATCTAAATTACATGTACAGTGTATTAGCATTTTTCAACTATTGCCAGTATCGGAAAATGCCGTAGCCAAAATAAGCTGATATGGCTCCATGGCATTTCTTCATAACACAATTTGTAGTCTTTGTCTATCAGGTAACTAGTCACGTAACTTGGCAAAAGTTTTTATTCATTCGTCAGTTGATAGACACACTGCATAATTGTCACGTGACAACCATACTTGAAATTGCTTTAAAATAAAAATTCTGTACAATTATGATATAGCCTTCAATAAAAACAATATTTTTAAAATTAAGCCTTTGTCAGAATGTGTATAAAATAAAAAAAAAATCATAACAGTAAGCGCTATTTAGAACTGGTTTATCGACCTAATTCCAAGCAATATGTCACGTGTCATTGGAATTCTATCAGGAAAATATATTTTTACATGACTGTTTCTCGGTGTATTCGGTGTTCTATCAGGGGATTATATTCAATGAAGATTTAAATTTACCTAACAACTGGTCAGTGAATCCACCAACATATGATCCAGTTACTATTTTAATATCTACCCGTACCTGGAATTCATACAGAGCGTGGAAGACGCTCAATTGGCAAACCATGCTGATATGGTCTTCTTTCGCCACGTGAGTTTCGTAGTCTTTGTTAACTGAAGAATTTTTTCAACGATACGGCTATATTATGTATCGATATAAATATCGCTGGAACATATCGGTGTATCAATATATCGACACAGCCCTAGACAAAACAAGTAAAAATATTGTTTTTGTTCAAAAATTGAGATTTTCACAAAAATGAGTCTATGAATATACTATCTATTGACCTAAAATAGCAACAAAACATCTTAAAACACCTTTATTTGGACGTTTTGTAAGAGTACTGTATTCTTAAATCTTTTTTTTTTCTTAAGATTCTCAGTGAAATTAGTTGGTTTTTTTGACGAACACAGCGGGGCAAACGGTCAATCTCCTTATGTAATACATGATATACTTGGCATGGTTGTAAAGTCGTAAATCTCTAGTTTATAAATATGGCCCAAGTATTACTGATATTCCCATTTCAAACGAATACAAACAAGTTTTAAAACCCATACAATACATAAATATACTCTGCCCAGACACCCCGAGCGGTGCATTGTGGTATATGGCTACGTTCAGGGGTCACACTATCAGTTCGCGATTTGCGATAAAGAAATGAAAGTGGCGATAAAAATTTTATTTTGGCGATAATTTTTTGGGGTACTTCCGATTGTTTCTGAGAAGCAGTGGAAAAAAATCTTTAAATTCTAATCGTATATAGATTGCCATTGAGTGTCAACCAAAATCACATATATACATTAATCAACTACATGTAGCTGAATATCCAGATTGTGTCATTGAGTAATAATTGTCATGGATTAATGATTAGTTGTTTGATAATTGCGAATGATATAGCCTTCCATATGTCATTATTTACTCCGAATAATTAATGCAAGCGGTGATTATTATAAATATTTTGTTTCATCTTAAAAAAAAAGTTATATTTCGATAGTTGAATTTCATTTGCTGTGACTTCATAGGGCATGTAAAATATACAAGCATGCCTAAATGGATATTATTGTTTCAAATTCTATTATCACCATGGGTCAGAAGCGTAAGATTAAGAACAACGGTCCGCGAATTTGTTCCATTATACCGCCGCCAAAATGCACTAAAGTGAACGTAAACATCTCTTACTAGTAGTATTACAAATGAAATTGAAATTTCTATTACTCTATCAGGGTTTCAGATTCTGATACCATTAGGGTATTTGAAAATAACAGTGGACCTACTGTACACGCAAAACCTTATTTTAATTCAGTTGTGTGACGAAAATAACTAAACTTGATTACCCAATCAACAATCTTAATCTCCTGAGCACCAACACAAAGGTGCTAATTTATAAATTAAGACACAAAATGTTAGCCTAGATTACCTAGTTAGAGAGTTCCACTCCTATCAGAAATGTGCATTTTTAAAGCACCCAAAAACCTGAAAAAAATTACTGAATTTATGAACCATTTCAGTACCCAAATTTCAAATGGCCATATCTGAGTGAGTTTTCAACCTAGAGATGTATAATTTTGGATTTGTTAGTTTAGGGCCATATGCTATTACATATATTTTTTATAATATTTTTGGAGGGGGTCCTGTTCCCACCATTGGTTCAGTTGATATAGAATGACCCTTATGCATTTTCCTTATTCTGCTATGTAACTACAAGTAAAGAAAATCTAATTTTTTGCAGGTGAAAGCTTTAAAGGCCAAAGTTGAAGATGTAAAAGGCAAAGATTTTCCTGTCAATGGACAGAAACTTATTTATGCAGGTACATCGATTTTATTAGACAATGCAGTATGATTATGGCATACATTTAGTTACACGTATATTTATAAGTTTACTGATTTGAAGCAAGCCTTAGTTGTTGATATAGTGTAAGCTAAATTTAATTGAAAATTTATCTGATGACTTATGGATAAGGCAGGTGCCAGATGCTTGCCCATTTCAAAGCACCTTGTACCATACAATTTTTTAAGTGGAACTTATTTTGTATGATTTTCATAAAACTCATTTCCAGATGAGTTGTAATTTGAACAAGTTCTGTGAATATTTGCAGTTTGTCAAAATATTTCAAATTAGCTTCTCTAAATTCTCTCTAAAAGCAAGAAGCAAATCCATCAATAGCATTCTGTTGATTCTGTTACATGACTACATGTTTGATTATTTGTACCGTACTTAAATGAAATGAAATGATATGAAATGGGGTTTAACGTCCTACTGTTTTGCTCTGAACTGGGCTAATGAAGACGGGCATACGCCATACAGTGTGCTATGAGGGAAATTTTGCCAGGACAGCGGCACTACGGCCTACTCTTATATCGAATTCCAACTGCCAAGGGATCTTTAACGTGCACGCCAATTTGTACACGGGACCTCGGTTTTTCGTCCCATCCGAACGACTAGACAGCTTTCCTTGTCAGCCCCTCCGTCCTGCATCACTGACGAGGGAGAACCACGCCGGAAAATCTGGATGAACTTTCTCGGCCAATGCAGGGATCGAACACCCGACCTCCAGGCTAGCGAGCCAGCGCCTTACCCACTTAGCCACCGTGATCCCCTGTACCGTACTTAAACTCTTTCACTTAAATGTATGTAAACTTAATTCTAATTTTCACTGAATTTGTATTTGAAGGCAAAATTCTTGATGATGAAAAAAAGATTGAAGAATATAAAATAGAAGAGAAAAACTTTGTTGTAGTTATGGTAACAAAGGTAAATATTAAACTATCGCAATATCAACAATACTATAAGCTAAGAATTTTAAATCCTTCATCAGTTGCTGATCAGTTTGGTTAATTTAGTATTCCATTTCGTGTATGGGGATGAATGACTTACTGAATAGATATGAATTAGTTTGTTTTGATGGATGAATAACAGTTAGGAACTGTTAGAGGATATTCTGAATATTATTGTGCACACAATGCAACCAACCAGTGTGATGGGTTTTTTTTTCTTTTCATTTTACGATGTTCAATATGTCATTAAATTATTTTTAGCCAAAAGCTACCCCGGTATCCAAACCGCCTGAAGCCACAGCATCTGCAGCTCCCCCACCAGTGGCAGAATCTACACCAGTTGTACCTCAAGTAGAACCTACCCAAACTGTATCCTCTGCTGCATCAGGAACTAGTATGGAAACGGACAGTTCTAAATCTACAGAAACGTCTTCACAAGGGTAAATATGCGTAGAAAGTTTTAAAATTACTAAGAAATATTTGAACTGTGTTTTCCAGTGAATTGGATCTTGTGTGTTTTCTTGAAATAGAGAAAGAGAGAGAATGTACATCTAGTGTAAACTAGGGAAATTTTTTGCTTCTGGACAACTTTACTGTAATCTTGAAAAGACATCAATTTTACTGAACAATAATTCAACACATTAATTTTTCATGTGAATCAAGGATATTGTGCCCTGTTGGGCTACATATTTTTTTCTGATTATTTTTATAAACCTTTTATTTATATTTATCTAGTATGGGTGTTTCTGTCTGCTGTGGTGTGGTAAAACTACTTTTGCATCCTTGGCATTGCCTTGAAATATTTTTATGGCCAAAAAATAATTTATTTTTGTTATATATTTGTAGCACACCGTCTGCAGTATCGTCTGACACTGTATCAATCGAAGATGTATCTGCTGTTATGTCAGCTGAAAGCACATTAGTTACTGGTCAAGAATATGAAAATATGTTAAGGGAAATAATGAGTATGGGTTTTGAAAGAGAGCAAGTTGTGCGGGCATTAAGAGCTAGTTTTAATAATCCTGATAGAGCTGTAGAATATCTTTTTAGTGTAAGTTTGGTTCTTGTGTTTTCACAATTTTATTTGCAAGGAGAAATTATTTTATTTCTGTATGTGTTAACATACTAGGATATGTATTGGTCAATGCCACAAGTATGTTGGCCTTATCAGTTAATTTGAGCCACTAAAAATCTATTGCTGGGCAAGTTTTGGTAGTAGTAAAATTACCTTTAAATGTGGATGTTTATTGTCTATGTCTGCCCACACTTTCTTTGAATACAGGTTAGAGTTCCTGACAGAATATTTTAAAACTCCATGATATCAATTAATATCTCAAGACACGATTCTCAATGGACTTTTTCGAAACTTTATAGAATTGTTCATTGGGGCATAATGTGATAAGAAGGAATTGTTCTGAATTTATTTAGACATTGATTATTGAAAAGCTAGCTTATACTATTCTTCTGAGTATTAGACAGACCGACAACCACCGTCTATATTTCTAATCTGATTGATTGTTCCTTAATATACAAACCTGATTGAAAACACTTGTACAACAAAATTTATTCATTAAATTTGATATGATCACTGTTATTATTTTTAGGGAATACCTGATATGCCAATAGCTGATGAACCACCTCAACCACCTGGAGTCCAGGAACCTTCAGTTCCTGCATCTCCTGCAACTGGTACCCCAGCAGCGGCTACTGCACCCCCTGCAGCAGCTACTGGAACCCCAGCTGCTGCAACTGGTACACCAGCTGCTGCAACTGGTACACCAGCTTCTACAGGTACACCAACAGCGGGGGCTCCAGCTTTAGATATAGGTGGTAAGATTCCAAATTCTATTAGATATTGCAGAAAACTGTCAAAAAAACAAACAGTGCATTCTAGTATTTTCCAGTGTGTTCTGAATATATTAATGGGTCACATGGAGGGTAAAACGGAAGGGTTATTATCTTTTAACTTACATGTTACTTACAACTTTTGGAGAAGGCAGGGAGCTATCCAAATGGTTTCGTCCAAACATTTGGTCGGTCGAGATTTTGAAGCATGATAACTTTTATTTTAATTAAACATTCATTACGCAAGCGCTAAATTTGCCTATTGCAGGTCTTTTTTTATTTAGTCCTAAAATGTTATATAAACTATTAATTGAACATTTATTAACATGACAAGTCCTTAATCAACTCTTGATGCCATCTGATGGGTTGATTTTCGTTAGATTTGAATCCAATCTGTGGTTCAATGGCATCTGATGATTAACCGTAAAAATGGATAATCAAGACTTAGTTTATTATCGTAACAATGGTAACAATGACAATCGTGGCTACAGTGTTATTAAAATGAGTATTTCTCAGCTCGGAGGGAAGTAATTTGACTGAAATTTTCAGCATTTTCCTGTTACATTATCTATTTTTTTTAACTACTATAGTGACAACTGTTAACTGTTTTATCTAATCTTCCATAATGCTGCTTTAAGTGAGAATGGTGAAACTTGGAGTATAGTTTTACAACATCAAAACTTTGACTTAAGTTCAATCAAGAGAATTTGATAAGCAGTTTCATTGCTCGATGGTTTTTTTTTTACATTGAGGCAAAGGACATCAGTCTGTTTATTTTGGGGTTGAGGCTAGAGACACCCGTCTCATTGTTGGCTTGTTAATTTACTTGTGAGATTTTGATTTTTCTTAGGTCAAGATCCTTTAACTTTTCTCAGAAGTCAACCCCAGTTTCAACAGATGAGACAAGTGATACGAGAAAATCCTAATCTTTTACCAGCAGTTTTACAACAGATAGGTCAATCTAATCCAAATCTACTACAAGTTAGTTTCTTGATTCTTCACTTTTATTATATCTTCATGCAGAGGGTTTGTTAAAGATGACGATGAAGAATAAATGCTATCATTAAACAACATAGCAAACAGTTTTATGCCCGAAATTGGTGTTGAATGTCAGTTATATTTAATCTTTCAGTTTGATGCGGGCTATGAATGCAAAATTCACTTATAAATGGATTTATTTAGAAATAAGCCTATTGGATAAAGCTACATTTAAATGGCATAAAACCGTTTACAGATTGAAGATATCTTAATTAGAAGCCAAGATATGAACATTTATGTTCGGTGAATCGGGGTACTTTTTGTCTAAAATTTTATATCAGAGAAAATCTCTAGCAGTTTTAAATACACTGAAAGGTCACAGGGGTCAGTGGCACAAAATTCAGGAATTAACAATGGATCAGAAGCACATAATGCATAATACCTGTACAAAATATCTGATCTTGCTGAAAATTGACACAACGCATGCCCGATCAACACTCTTAATGTATGACAAAAAAAACAACATAGATCGACCACAATGTCGTCCATTTTGAATAAATTAATAACAAAAAATGTGTAATATTGTTGAAATCGTAACTATTTATATTAAAATTTCGGTTACATTCTCAGAATAATAATGAATTAATACAAAATGTAACCAAATAAGAATCATGGTGATTTAAATATGCAAATAAGGTGATGTCAGCCATATTTAATCCAAGATGGCCACCATAATATAATGTAGTATGAATTTTATAAGTGTTTATGTGTAACAAAAATAAGTGGTTTATTCATTAAAAATTCTTGAATCAAACCTTACTAAAAAGATGATTGTTTGATATTGGCCAGTTTGAAATCCAAGATGGCTGCCACAATTCAAACTGAAGCAGATCTAAACAGCAATTAAAAATAACACTTTTGCACTTCTAAAACCATTACAGTAATAACAGACCAGACAAATATAACTTAGTATTAAAAAAAAAAAATCAAAAAGTATTGTGTTTAAAAGTATTTTCTGTGTTGGAAAAGTCATACAATGTTGCATTAGCAATTTAAGAATCAAAAATTTATAAGGTTCATGGATTATGGCCCCTGATTGTACAAAAAATCACGTTTTTAGCTTGTAGACCCTATAAACATGTAGGTCACAATTTTTATACACCCACATTGAATTGTGGTCATATATTGTCGTCGCCCCGTCCATCCATCCATCCATCCGGCGTCCACAATTGCTTGTGGTCGATCTAAAGGCTAAAGTTAATATCTGATTGACTTTAAATTTATATACAGTGTTTAAGGCCATGAGACGAAGAAGCCTATTGATTTCCGGTAATTACTGCCAGAGTTATGGGCCTTGATCACTTTAAAAAATGTGGACGCTCCAGAGGCTAAAATTAATATCCGATTGACTTTAAATTTATACACTGTGTTTAAGGTCATGAGACGAAGAAGCCTATTGATTTTCAGCGATTTCCGATAATTACTGCCAGAGTTATGGCCCTTGATCACTTCAAAAAATCTTGTGGACGCTCTAGAGGCCAAAGTTAATATCCGATTGACTTTAAATTTATACACAGTGTTTAAGGTCATGAGACGAAGAAGCTTATTGATTTTCAGCGATTTCGGATAATTACTGCAAGAGATATGGCCCTTGATCACTTTGAAAAATCTTGTGGACGCTCTAGAGGCTGAAGTTATCATCCGATTGACTTCAGATTGATACGCAGAGTTTAAGATCTTGAGACGAACAAGTATATTGATTTTCATTGAATTTTTATAAAAGACTTGAACAGCTAAATCCATGATATTAAAAGTTTCTTCTGCTAAACTTTATAAAAACCAAACAAATTCTAATGGTTTTCTGATAATTACTTCATGAGTTGTTACTCTTAATCAGATTTTAGTTTATTATAAATGTTTCATTACCAAAAAAATAAAACTATGCGACAACACTTTATAATTCAAAGATCTTGGTTCCTTTCGATATTCGAGCATATCGGACCGTAACTTCCTGAATTATGGCCCCTGATTGTACGAAAAATCACATTCTTTAGCTTGTAGACCCTATGGAGGTCACAATTTTATTCCGATTTAAAAAACAGTTTGAATACATCACCGTTACACCTTAGTGACGGTTGAGTTCGAGGTTCGCGAACAAAATGGCCGCCACTCGTGCGCTAATAGTGTAAAAATATGGTATATCAAGGTTGTGAACCCTCTAGATGTCACAATCTAAGTGATTTTGATGAAACTTGAAATACATGTTTATAACCCAAAGATCTTGGTTCCTTTCATTATATTCGCGCATATCGGATCATAACTTCCTGAATTATGGCTCCTGATTGTACAAAAAATTGCGCTTTTAACTTGTGCTCCCTATAGAGGTCGCAATTTTTTTTCCATTTAAAGAAAACGTTTTAGTATATCACCGCTACACCCTAATGATGTTTGAATTTCATGAAAATCGGACCAAAATTGTTGGATAAAATGGCCGCCCCTTGTACGCAAATAGTATGAACATCTGGTATATCAAGGTTGTGGACCTCCTAGTTTTCACAATTTTGATTTGATTTTGATGAAACTTGAAATGTATGTTTATAACCCAAAGATCTTGGTTCCTTTCATTATATTCGCGCATATCGGATCATAACTTCCTGAATTATGGCTCCTGATTGTACAAAAAATTGCGCTTTTAACTTGTGCTCCCTATAGAGGTCGCAATTTTTTTTCCATTTAAAGAAAACGTTTTAGTATATCACCGCTACACCCTAATGATGTTTGAATTTCATGAAAATCGGACCAAAATTGTTGGATAAAATGGCCGCCCCTTGTACGCAAATAGTATGAACATCTGGTATATCAAGGTTGTGGACCTCCTAGTTTTCACAATTTTGATTTGATTTTGATGAAACTTGAAATGTATGTTTATAACCCAAAGATCTTGGTTCCTTTTGATATTCGCGCATATCTGATCATACCTTCCTGAATTATGGCACTTGATGTTACGAAAAATCACTTTTTGTTTAGCTTGTTCTGTATCCAACTGGGCGTATCCTGCCTGGCAGCCGCTGGTTTCTTTTCCCAAGCAAGAAAATCAACAGATTTTACAATCCACTTGCAAACTAATATTACATGTAACTATAAAGTGCAATATAAAATTGTGCTGTATAAATAGTACTGAATCAACGCATTACACTAATGATTATTTTACTTATTTGTTCACTTAAACCCATCAACTCCTCCGTTAAAATCGTTGCCGGCATTCGATAAATTCATCACGTCATATCCAAAAAAGTATTCATAGTAAACGAATATAATTTATATCATTCGAAAGCCATGAAAATTCCCTATCAAATGAGACTACGAACGGGTGACTATTCAACATAGAAGTCGTGTTATACAAGTCTGGATTCTAGCAAAGATGGATAACTCTGTGAGCATAAACAAATGACGTGTTATTTATATTTAGCAGAAAGTCCTATTATTTTGTGTACTTTTAGCTGTAAAAATTTAGTTTATTGTGTCTAGAAGAGAAAGTATTAAACCGAAAATTAAGAATAGAAGTGTTGTTAAGTTTTACATTGATTAGACACGTCTGATCTTGAATATGTGAGCGATGCCGATGAAGTTCTAAGAACAAAGAGGTGACCTAGATGTCATAGAAATTATAAATTAGATCTTTATTTACACAACAAGCACAAAATCAACTCTGTAGACCCACGGATGGCTTGGATTCAGCTTGGATTTAAACAGGATTTCGTTGACTGATTTAATTTTAAATGGCGTCGTGAGCGGAGGTTAACCGTTACGTTGACGTCATACTCCCGGATCGAGGCTAAATGATAGAGTGTACGAAGCGAGGCCGCTACATGTTGAGCGATGCCTTAACAAATGACATCTAAACTATTTAAAGTGCAATAAACTTAACACAGATAATGACAAATTATACAATTCCTGGAGAACGTGTGATGACTAATACAGACGGACAGGTCTTCTGTCTTAATAATATCAATAAAAATATTTTTATTTCCCCGAATAGGCACGACGCCACTGGTGTATACCTATAGATTTATCATAATTATATTATAATATTATGTCCTATACTCAATTGATTTAATGCATGTCCAAAATACAAGTAAGAATGAAAATTTACCCTCTCACTCATTTTGTCCAATTGTCATAAAAATCCAAAAAGGTAAAACACAAATTTGGATATGATGACAGCAGACAAAAGACAGCAGAGATTATGTAGGCCAATCAAACGATCGGCCATACTAAGAATCGGTGAAGATGGAATTCAATCCCATTTCTAGTCAAAAATTACACTGGTGATAACTATGTTCAGAATAAAGTAATTTGACTGAAATTTTCAATATATTCTCCTTTCATCATCTATTTTTAAACTGTTATAGCAAGAATGGCTAATTCCTTATAAAAATCTCCCATAATGTATCTTTAATCTGAAAAATAGAATGAACAGATACATAATACTACTACATAAAACACTGTAACCCATGTATCATTTAATCTTGTGTTTCTAGCACTAATTTCTTTCACTTTTGTTTAATATCAAATCTTTGTTTAAAAATTTGTAAAAACTGTTTAAAATCACCAAAAATCATTTAATTTGTACTTGTGTCCAGTTTAAAGCTGACTGATTAATTTTGATAATGAGTGTCCAATTTACAAATATTTAATTTCCTGACCACTGTTCAAAAATTAATTATTATACGTCATTAAAGCTACAATTTCATATTTTTAAGTTATATTTTTAAAATTTATTAAAATAAAGCCTTAAAATAGATGGTATCCATAAACAGTCCTACCTTGTTAAAGAATAATCCTATTAATCCTATAATTCACTATTGCCAGTTGAGAAATTGGCAAAAATATCATATTCAGCTTCAAATTCAAACGTTTAAACATAACTATTGAATGGAGGTAATTGTGTTATTATTTTCTGTGTCAATGATTTTTAAGGGTGGGAAATAATGCCCATGATC